ATGGGAATTTTTAAAGTATGCTTATTCCAGGCATGGTGATACATGCCTGTAATCCCAGTTCCTTAGAAGACTGAGACAGAAGAATCGCAAGTTCAGGGCCAGTCTCAGCAATTGAGCAAGGCCCTATCTCAAAATAAAGAATTAAAAGGGGCAGTGTATGTAGCTTGGTGGTAAAAGTACCCCTGAGCTCATTCTACAGTATGCAAATAATTACAGTAATAATAATAACAAAAATAAAAGTATGTTTACAACGAAGTGAGATACACACACACACCCACTTGCACATGAAAGTGTAACCAGCAGTAGAGAGTAGAAGAGTGCTAAGTCACAGTTCTCTAGCTCCAAAATAGAAGAATGATTTTGTAAAGGGGCTGGCTTTCCATGGTGCTGTCAATCTCAGGTCGTACTGCTGGTGGGCGGACAGAGGAGCAAAGACTGTGAAACTGCTCCGCCTGTGCAAGGGGTGGGGCATCTGAGCAATGGTGGCCACAGGAAGGGAGATTGTGCAGATCTGAGAGTGTTCAGTGTCCTGCATACAGTCTCATCCTGCCTCTGAATTAGTTTGATTTTCCTTCCCAGAAGCTATAACCTCTTAGTGGAAGAACAATAAAACCGGAACTTCCAGACCAAAGAGGAGGACCTGGGGAGGCCAGAGCAGTCTAAGTCTTGTACAGACAGCTGTGCTTGCAATTACTGCAAAATGACTCACCTTTCTCATCAGTGATATCTTTGATCACAGTCTTCAGCCTAAATCAAGCCCTTATCTTACAGGCCTGACACTATTGGCAAATTGCCTCGTCCTTGATGTTTCAGGGTTGTAACTCAAATGGAGAAGGTGTTGGCTCCCATTTCCAGGACTAGGGCTGGGGTGTGAATTACTTTACACAGATCTGCTCTCTGTCCTTCAGGAAACATTTTGATAAGAGAAACATGGTAAAAACAGGCTCCAGGGCTTAGAGGTCAGCCAAATAAGAATTTAAATCTTGTTCCTCTAAGTTTCCAGCAGTGTGACCTTATTTATTGCTAAGCTTCTCTAAGCCTTGATTTTTCTTGTCTATACAATGAGAACAGTAACACCTCTCTGGCACCCTCATGGGTCATTATTTTCAACCCCAACAGGTGGCAGGACTCAAAGACTGGAGTTGCTAATTTGGCAGCAGCCCCAAGCCAATTTGGAAGAAGTCCCAAGTCAAACCTGCCTCACTGTTTCCTCACAGTGTGACCAGACTGGGGACACAGGAGGGCATGAGTGATATCCCACAGTCCTAGTATGAGAATCATCTTGAAGTCTTCTTTTTTCTCCCGGGAAGCCAGGCAATGTCAATAGCAGTGGCCTAAAAGAGGGAATCACAGATGAAAAGGCAAAATCTGCACTTCAAAATCTTGACTGACTGATTTATTAGAAACAGGTTTAGGCATTGCAGGGAGTGCCCTGTCTGCAGGTTTGCTTCATGTTCCAGAGTAGATGACAGGATGATTTTTATAACAAGGATGATCAGGGCAATAAAAAGTGAGTCCATAAGCCTTATCACTGCCCTGGCAATGCTAATCCTATTATCACAGAAATAATCACCACCAAAAGCATGGTGGAGCACTGAAGTGAAGAAATGTAGTCTGCCTCAAACAAGAGAGAAAAACCACCCTGTATACCCTACCTACCTGGCCAAGAACTCAAAAACACAGCAAGGCAAGAAGTTACCTGATCTGGTGACCGGATCCCATTCATCAACTGCAACATGTGAAGATTTAAGGAGAATCCCCACACATCCCCACTCAGTTGAAGAAATAAAACATGACCAATGCATTTGACATCCCTGTAATTCCTCTGAAGAGCATCTTCCTCTGTTTCCCCAGACCCCAAACCCATCCCAGGACAACTATTCTGAACTTTTTGTTCACTATGCTGCTTTATATTTGTATAATATGCCTAATGAATTCATAAGCTACATGTAGGACACTTATGTGTGTTTTTTAACATTTCATAGATCATATCAAAAAATTGATGATATTTTTTATTTGCTTAGAATTATGTTTCTGAACCATATGAAATAGCTGGTATTTAGAATATGTAGAAGAGCTAGAAGAATGGCAATTTTATATGGTCCAATCAAATAATTGTAATTTATTATATTTCACTACTTGGTAGTATTCCTTTATATGACTATACCACAATTTAGCTAATATTGCTTTTTTTTTCTTTCTTCAAACAATGCTGGTTTGAGAATTCTCCTCCATGTCTCCTGATATGTGTACAAGAGTTTCTTTTGGGACATAGATCTAAAACTGAAATTTGGATTGCTAGAACAATCCGTGTGCAAACATCCAACGATTACTATAGATAGTGCAAAATGTTCTCAAAAGCAATAGCTCAAGTTACATTTCTTTAAGCAGCATAATAGAATTCCCTTCACACCATATCCTCACCTATGCTTGGTGATGACAGATTTTGAATATCAAAATGATGAGAATAAAATAGTATCTCACTGTGGCTTGATTTTTGCAATTCTCTCTTACTAAGGAGATTGATTATGTTTTCATGTGTTCATTGTTCATTTGTATCCCTCCCCCTACCTTGGGTTTTGTTTGTTTGTTTTCTTTCAGTACTGGGGATTGAACTTGGAGGTGTTTCACAAACCCTGAGTTACATATTCAGCTCTCTCTAATTTTTTGTTTGTTTGTTATTATTTTTGAGATAGGGCCTCACTAAGTTGCTGAGGTGATGAAGCTGGCTTCAGATTTGGGATCCTCTTGTCTCAGGTTCCTGGGATCACAGCACGTGCCATGGCACTTAGCATCCTTCTCTTTTAATAATGGTTCATCGTTTTTTGCTCATTTTAATCATGTTTCGTCCACCTAACTTGATTGTTTAATTTTTCATGGATTGGTAGACCTATGTATATCTCCCCTTTCTATATGCCGATCTCCTTTGTCAGCTTTATAATGTAATAAATACCATTTCCAGTTTGTGGCTCATCCTTTCAATTTTTTTAAATTGTTTTTCATGTTTTATTTTATTTTTATTTTTTAAGAGAGAGAGAATTTTTTTTAATATTTATTTTTTAGTTCTCGGTGGGCACAACATCTTTGTTTGTATGTGGTGCTGAGGATCGAACCCTCGCCGCACGCACGCCAGGCGAGCTCGCCACCGCTTGAGCCACATCCCCAGCCCCAATTTTTCATGTTTTAAACTAGACAAGAAGAGAAAGTATTTCTATGTAAATAAATTAGAAAATGAAAGCACCATAGTAGGCTAAAGTGGGACCTTTCAGGAAATATCTTAAAAGAGATATCAGGTTGGGATCATAGAGAATTTTTCCACAGAATTCCAGGCTTGAGGACTCATAGATGTAAGTATGACATTATTTATGTTCTTATGCACACGTTAGGGCTTCAGGTAATCCAGAAGGAGCTGGGGTAGGAAGAGGAAGGGGCTGGTTGTGGGCCAGGGGGGCAGGCAATCTCCATGCATAAAAATGACCGATTCTATCCTGGCCTTTTAAATACAAAGCATTGCCCCAGATCACAGAGCGTGCCTGGAAGTTTAAGTCCCTCAGCTGGGACAACTCTCAGCCAGGCACTGAGGTACAGGGTAGTGGGAAGGCCTCTTCCTTGCCTCCCATTGAGTGGAGGCAACCCTTTACTCCAGAGCACTCCCACCAGGCCAGGCTGAGGTACAAGTGCTCTACAGCTAGAAACAAATCACACACATGAAATTTGGGGTTTTGCTTTGTTTTGAAGAAAGAAGTTTTGGATGCCAAGGGGAGTGCCCTGGGAGGGAGGGGTATACTGACAAAGCAGCAGAGGAGGGGGCCACAGGAGTGACATTCACAAATAAGTAGAGGAGACAGTTATGCACAAGAGAGGGGCCGTCACCTAATCTTAGCACAGGCAGCTCACCTGGTTGGAAGCAACCAACCAGGTTCAACGTGGAGGCATATTGCTGGGCATGGTGGGGGAAGGTGGGAAAAATAGAATGGAAAGAAAGAGAGTAGACAATGACAGAGGTCTGAGGAGACACAAGGTGCCTAGGGAAATGCCACAAGATTGCTGACCTCACTGAAAGCCTATTTGAGGTTTGTGGTCATTGGTTTTAAATGAGACCAGTCTGCAATGTCTCCTGGTTTCACACAGCCACATCCAGAAATTTTGGTACAAATCAGGTGTGAGCCAATGAAGGATTAACTAGAGTTGGGATTGTGCCATCTGTGTAGAACTAAGAGGAAGGCAAGGGTATGGACAGTGGGTTCAGGGGTGAGTTTAGTTATGACGGGGCACAATGAAGGCAGAATTAGACAGGCTGTCAGTATAGATAGGTAAATCAAGTCAGGTCGAATCAAGGAGGCCAATTTTGAGAGAGTCTGGGAAGTTGGAGATTGTCCCCTGGATTGAAAATGTTAATTCCTTCAGAGCCCTTCCTCCACCCTTATCAAGAACCTGCCCCTGCTCCAACCTGTTGCTAAGGTAACCTGTCCCAGGAATTGCCCCTCCCTACAGGGAGCCATAAAGTTTATTAATTAATGTGTCCTGGGCTGCTCCATCCTGCCCTACCCCCTTCAGCCCACCTGTTTCCCACCTTTTGGGCATCCCAAAGACAGCAGGAGAACAAAGTAAGCCTAGAACTTACAAAAAGGGCAGAACACCTGACTTCTTGGGATACCAGGATACCAGCTATGGCCTCCTTCTCCCTCCCAGGAGAAGTCTATGTTACCTCTTTTTAAATAAACCCTGCTTTATATGCTTGCCTCCGAGTGCTTCTCTAATATTCAAACTTCAACATGTGGGGGAGCAGAACTCGTGACTGATAACCAGCAGTATCAACACTAGGCAGGGTAAAGAGAGACTGAGGGGTGGTGCTGACATGGACAGGTGGTAGGCAGGGTCAACCAACCAACCTGAGTCCTCCTTGCAATGAAGGCATTTGGAGGGGGGGGGGGGTCCAAGGGGAAGTGATGTGAAGTGCTTGGAGGTGCCTGTCAGAGAGGCAAGCTTGCAACTGAGACTCAGGTGGAATACATTTATTATTGATAACACATTTTTCTAGATGCACGATTGGTGGTGTAGACAATAATGTATTTCAAAGAGATGGGTAAGATCAAGGACAAATGCAGAAGTTGAAATAATGGGAAAATATATCCTGTACAAAAATGGAATTATAAATGAATATATTCCTGTTTGTGTGGACTTACATTTCCCAATTATTCCACAATGATCATACATTATACATAATCATAAAAAGGTTAGTAGATCAAGTCAAGGACATCACTCAAAAGATAAGAAGGGACATTTCTCCGTATTTATAAATAAATCTAGTTGCAATCTACAAAGCTCATAAAGTTATTCCATTCTGAAATTGTACCAGTATTTTCCATATATCCTAAAGAATTACTTAAAATGAGAGGGTGTTTGTGTCACGGAGCGGGGGCGAGGATTAGAGTTTCCACAGCTCCCTCAGGCCTGGCAAGCTGAGGGGCGACGAAGGTCCCCGGGGATGGAGGGACATTGTAGAGGGCCCAGTAATGTACCAGAGGCCCGACCGCTCATGACATCCTGGGCCTGGCACAAAGAGACACCAAACTCCCTGAGCGATCTGGCGGCCTCTGCCGCAGCTGGAGGTAGGACAGTTCCTGGACTGGGGCTCAGGTGTGACTCATCTCTCTTCTTTAAACTGTTAGCTGCAAAATGGGAACAGTGGCTTCCACTTCAGAAGGAGATCTGAGAAGGAATGAACTGGGAGGAGTCGGGAAGGGATCCCCGGGGGCGTCCAGTCCCGACCTCAGATACAACCTGCAGGGACGCTGACCTCACATAGTCAGAGCCACCAGGACAACTTTGCTGGACTCCCCTATGACCCTTCTGCAGCCTAAGAAGCAATTCTCTTGGTCGTCTCCCACCCACAGAACTTTTTGCGGATGACACCGAGGGTAAAGGACCACCTTAGGGAGCCTTTTGTTGTTGTTACCGGGGATTGATCTCAAGCTCACGACCACTGAGCCACACCCCCAGCCCTATTTTGAATTTTATTTAGAGAGAGGGTCTCACTGAATTGCTTAGTGCCTTGCTGTTGCTGAGGCTGGCTTTGAACTCCCGATCCTCCTGTCTCAGCCTCCCAAGCCACTGGGATTACAGGTGTGTGCCACTGCGCTGGGCTTGGGGAGCCTTTTAAGAACAGCCCTGAGTCTTGGTCCCGCCCTGGCCCCAGCGCTTAACACAGGATGGGGCACGCAGTGAGTGCCCAGTAAATTTCGACTGAATGAATGAGTGCAAGGTAGTAAATGACCTTTCACATCCATCATCTCATGGCAGCTTTCTGTGACCTCACCCTGAGGTGGTGACAGTGGCTGCCTAACTATGTTTCTGAAACTCACTATATATGCATGGGAATGTAACCCAGTGGTAGAGTACTATCTTACTAAGCTCAAAGTCCTGATTTTGACACTACCACCACAGGAAAGAAAGGAGGAGGGAAGCCTGGTGCGGTATTGCACTCCTATAATCCCAGCGACTCAGGAGGCTGAGACAGGAGGATCGCCAAGTTTGAAACCAGTCTAAGCACCTTAGTGAGACCTTGTCTCAAAATTAAAAAAAAAAAATAATAAATAGAGCACTTGCTTAGCATGTATGAGCTTTAATCCCCAGCATCCCCTCAAAAAAAAAAATCAATTTAAAGCACACTATTTGATAGGTAACCTAACAGGTGTTATAAACCTATGACACATTTTGGGGAAAGGTGAATGTGAATGCCTGAAATTTGAGAAACACAGTGCTCACGAAAGAGTCCAAAATGGGGGAAATATTTTCTACAGCTGTTGACTATAACAACTTCTATAAAAGGATTCTTCTTTCACCTTTAAAAAAAATGAGATCAAATGAGAGATATGAATTTCACAGTATATGTTTTCTCTCTCAATAATACCTATTTTAAACAAATATATGTTTGTATTTGTTGAATTTGCACAACAAATACATACATACTTGTCTGGAGTGATCTATGGGTTGAGGACATGGAAAGGACTGGGCACATGGTAGACAGAAAAATTCAAGACTTTTTTGAACACCTATTCTCATTTTCTTATCATGATACAACGTAAAGATATTATCTACCCAAAATTAAATGTAAGAAGTAAAAATCAATATACTTTAAATTTTTTAATAGAAAAACTTTTAAAACTAATCTGCAAAAGTTATGGTAGGAAATGATTGTTTGCATTGCCAAATGAGTCATTGTTTAAACAAAGATTTCTTCTAGCATTTTTTAAATGAGTACAAATTTTTTTATGTTTATTTTTTAGTTATAGGTAGGCACAATATCTTTATTTGTATGTGGTGCTGAGGATCGAACCCAGTGCCTCACACATGGAAGGCGAGCACTCTACCTCTGAGCCACAGCCCAAACCCTAACTTGGGATGCATGGATAAATTATATATATGAATATATAATAATATATATGAATATATCATTAATAATTGAATATATGTCAAAATATATTACATACGCTTTTACATAAAGTTAGGTTTAGGTATAAGGGTGTTTTAGTCATCTTTTTTGCTGCTGTCACTAAAGGACCTGACCAAAACATGTGTCAGGAGGAAAAGCATATTTGAGGGTTCACAGTTTCAGAGGTCATAGTCTATGGAAGGCTGGCTCCATTCCTCATGGCTCAAGGTGAGGCAGAACATCATGGAGGAATGATGTGGCAGAGAGAAGCAACTCACATGATAATCAGGAATCAGAGATCTCCACTTGACAGATATAAATATATATCCCAAAGCCACGCCCTCAATACTCCACCTGCATCAGTTACCACTGGATTAACCCCATCAGGTGATTAATTCACTGACTGGGTTAAGGCTCTCACAACCCAATCATTTCCATTCTGAACCCTCTTGCATTGTCTCACATGTGAGCTTTTGGGAGACACTTCACATCCAAACCATTATATTCTGTCCCTGACCCCCAAAAGTTCACACTCATCTGACAATGCAAAATACATTTAGTCCATTCCCAAGAGTCCCCATATTCTCGATAGTTCTGAGACTTCTCAAAGCTCAAGTCCAAAGTTTTCTCTGAGGCTCAAAACAATCTTGCATTGTGAGATCATGTAAAATTAAAAGCAATTTACAAGTATCCAAAGCAATTTACAAGTATACACTATATACAGGTACAGAGTAAACATTTCCACTCACAAAAATAGGGGCATAGAAAGAAGGGATGGGACCAAAGCAAGACCAACCAGGTGCGCAAACAAGCCCTGTAGTTCTTTGTCCAACATCTGGATCATATGGTATAATGTCTTCTCCAAAGGGCTTATGTAGCTCTGTCCCTGTGGCCTTGTTGGGTGCAGACCAAGTGGCCTTTCTGTTGGCTTGTCTCTGCTTAATTCCTGCAGCTTTCCTAGGACAATGTCCCACGTTACTGTCATTTCTTCATCTTGGGGGTCTTCACTGCAGCTTCAGCTTCCTCCACACATCTCCCCTCTTTGTCCTTTCAGGTGCAGCCCACAGGGACTCCAACCCTGCAGCACCTTGCCTCGCCTCCCAGAACTTCCTTTGAAATCTTGATTGAAGCCTCCATACCCCCTCACTCCAGCCTCCTGCATTCCTGCAGAACCAGCACTATGTGATTAACACCAAGGTCTACTGCCATCTCAAGCAGTAGCTTAGCCTCCGGGGACACTTGCTGCAGCAGCCTCTGAGTGTCTGAGTGGTTGAGCATGTTGAAAAAACTTTCTAGGCCCCTTTGTACAAGAAGGATTCCCCACTGATTTCATCTCAAGAGAATTTTTACTTTTCTTTCCTTGAGTCTGAGGAGGGTCTGGTCTTGCAAATTCCTGAGATGTCCTCAAGCCATCTTTCTCATTGTCTCTGGGCAAAGTCTTTGGCATTTCTTTAGTGGAAGTAATATCTTTAATAACTGCAACTTCCTTAGCCCTAGTTTACTTCCACCTTTAAGTCTGCATTTTCTAAATCTTTCTGCTCTGCTTTCTGCTCCTGGCTATAACAATAAGTTTGGCTAAAGGCTGCCAGCATATCCATGCCACTTTCTGAATGCTATGCTGCCTAGAAATTTCTTCTACTAGATTAAGAAGTCCATCACTTTTAAAATCAGCCTAACAGAAAGTCTCAGGGTATGGGCAAAATGCAGATAACTTCTCAGTCAGAATATAATAGGAATGGCCTCTAGTCCAATTACCATAGTGTCCTCTTTTTCCTCTAAACAATCTTGAGCTCTGTCTTAACTGTCCACAGTCCTATTAGCATTCTGCTCTTCTGAGCTCCCACCAAAATCAGCCATTAAGCTCCACTTACAACAACCTAAAGCATTTCCAGTTTGCATTGCTAAACATCTCAAAATCCTCCCACCAATTCCAAAAAGCTCAGAAAGATTCTGAACTACATGGTCAGGTTCGTCACAACAATGATCCCACTTCTCAGCAACAATTTCTGTTTTAGTCAGCTTTTTCACTGCTGTGACTAAAGGATCCAACCAGAACATGTGTAGAGGGGGAAAAATTTATTTGAGGGCTCACAGTTTCAGAGGTTTTAGTCCATAGAAGGCCAGTTTCATTCCTTGGGTATCAAGATGAAGCAGAACATCATGGCAGAAGAGTATGGCAGAGGGAAGCAGTTCACATGATTATCAGGAAGCAGAGACCTCTTCTAGCGTTTTTTAAAAATATTTATTTTTTAGTTGTAGTTGGACACAATATCTTTATTTTATTTTTATATGGTGCTGAGAATTGAACCCAGGGTCTTACACCTGATAGGCGAGCACTCTACCACTGAGCCAGAATCCCAGCCTTCCTCTAGCATTTTTAAGAGGGTTCCATTTTTAAATTTTTTTGTAGAGTTCCATTTTTTAAAAAAACCCTAAATTTAAAATTTTAGTTCCTATTCAAAGCTATTACTGTATAGTATATTCGTACCACATCCTTAAGGGCAATCTCTAGACTTTCTATAAGACACACACCCTAACAGAAAAAGATCAATGATTTTTCACATACATATACTTCACCAGAGGACAGTTACACTTATTTTGTACAGTTCAAGTTTAGAATGAGAACAAGTGTTTTTTAAATTGGTTCCTGTTCAACAGAAGAAAGGGAACAATTAAAGCTACCAAAAGTGAAACCAATTGACTTAGAGGCATAAGATTGCAAATCCAGAGATATACAACAGAGCAAATCCTCCACTAATGGTTATGATACTTTGGCAAACTGTTTAACACTCTGAGACCTGAATCATGAGGTCACTGGGGTCCTTCCAAACTCCCAGCTCCATGACCCCACTTGTGGTATGAGTTCCCTTGCTGGAAGACTTAAGCAGAGATGAAGAACTATAAAGTAGAAGTTGATCATGGAAAGAGAGGATGGATTGGAGCAGGTGCCAAATGGATTAACCACTGGCTTCTGACAATAATTTGATGCCCATCTATCTACATTAACAGTTCAAAGTAAATTTTATTATTTTCTGTGGATACCAGAATGTCCGCACAAAAATTATATGTCAGTACTCAAATCTGAAACAGTCAGAAAAGCCAAGATACCTATCTATTAATTTTTAAAGATTATTGGAAAAATAATTAAAGCATCTGAAAGAGAAAAAGGAGAAGCATCTGAAAGAGAAAAAGGAGAGCTCAGAGACCCTAAGAATAAATTTACAAACATTCCAAGGGCCTAAGAATTCTAGGTTAAGAACAATTTGCCTAGATGGCTTAGAACGTTAACTGAGTGAATGTATGGCACAAAAATTGCCCATGAAATGAGGTAAACTTTGAAGATGGTTTACCTCCATTGAGACTTAATCATGAAAAAAGGGATGCAAATCAGCAACATGAACCATTGTGTTACACCTGTTACTGCCTGTATTAATTGGTCAGTACTCATAATACACCATTTGTTCAATTGTGTAACATTGCCTAAGCACTAGTGAAATACAGTGTTTGTTAAGTGTAATCTGCAGGATATCAAACCCACCCACCCCTGTTGGCCCCCTGAAGTGAGGCCAGTAGGATGTGCTACCAGTAACTCTAATAATAATAATAATAATAATAATCAGTTATTAGTAGAATTAGTATTAAATAGTATAATTTAATTAGAATTAAATTAGAATTTAATTAGTATTAAATCAGTAGAATTAGTATTAAATAACTATAACATTGCATAATATCTTGTTGACAGTTTTCATGTCTTTTCATTTTGTGTGACAGTACCCAAACTTTTGTGAAAGAATGAGAGAACAGAAAGGGAAAAAATAATAATAATTATTAAAACTCTTGTAGGTTGAGCACAACTGTACAAAATATGTAAGACCTTCACTCAATTTTCCCATTTCTTTCATAAATATCTGAGCCAACACTGACTGTAGCCACTCTCAAATAGCTGTCACTAAAAAAACCTGTTATTCCTGGACTTTAAATTCACACAGATGTGTACACACTCTTAAACACAGACAAATATGTTTTCACCATATTTGAGGTTGCTCTCTAACATGTGTGCACAGGCCCTGATCAGGAGAAATGAGTCAAGGATGATTGCATCCCTGTGGTCTGTATATATTCATGACTCAATCCAGGAACTCCTAAAGTGCTTGGTGGAAGCCTCTACAAAATTCATGGAAACTTTGCTGATTAGAATTTAAACATGTATATGCACTAGGTTCCAACATATCAAAATGTGAAATAAACCTCAGGCCCTAGACTTAAACATCAGCCCTCAATTGCTGCTGAAGATTTTATTAACATTAAAAAAAACTGGACTCCACCAAGTTGGCCTTCTGCTGCTGGGGACATCATGATCCAATGAAGGGAGACCTGGCTCCTCAGAGGATGTCAGGGCCTATTGCTAGTGTTGCTGCTAATGAAGTCAACTGGAATAAGGATCAAAAGAACTCAAGTCCTATATCTCCACTTAGAACACTACCAGAGGACTCCACTACCTAAAGGTCTTGCATGTACATGTCACAATTAGATTTAAGTGTGTATATAGATATACATTCTCCTTTATCTTCCCAATAGCTAGTATTTTTCTACTCCAGAGAAGGTTCAAAAAAAAAAAAAAAAAAAGCTTGAATCAGTGACTATTTCAGAGCATGGGAGTTTTGCAGGGTGAAATGGAAATCTGAGGCCTCAATCTACAGATCCTCTGGTCTTTTCTTTATACTACACCAACCTTCATTGCAGAAAACTGTTAAATAGCCAAAGGCTATGCGTATCCAACTGGATAAATACTATGATGACCAGCTTTTAGCTTTGCTCTGTTTGAATGAAGGTTTTGAAAGAACATTCTGACATATATTGGACTTATTTCCTTAATCAAGCCACATTCAAGTCCCTGCAATGGTCAGTTACATTAAAACAGGGTGTGTGGGAATACTTCTTACAGCAAATTCACTATGAATCTGATTTTCATATAAATTCTAAAGTCAAGCACCTATGAGAGTCATTTTTCTTCATTCCTTGGTATCTTTTATGAGCATCTACATATTCAAAGAAACCTAATGCCTTGTCATGCCCCATGATATTCCAGTCCACTAGAGTGGGAAATGGAATCCTGTAAGCAATAACCTGCTGAAGGACAGTGAGCTAGTTGCCTCAGCATCTTCATCTATAAATGAGGCTTTGATCACAAGATTTTCCATCTTCTTCTTAGGTCAAAACTTCAAGGATTCAAAATATGTTTCTAGACATTAAAAAGAAAAAAAAAATCCTCTTGGAATTGAGAAAAAATGTTCAAGGACATGTTCAAAACCTTCATGTAAAAATTATCATGGCTTCTATACAAACACTGCCAGACATCTCTCTGGTCAGGGAAAGTCCAACGATCCCTATGAACAGCACCCATCTTTGAGGTGGCCTCTTTCCTCCACATTTGGACCAGAGGAGTCACTGTGTACTAGTGACAAGGTAGGGCTGTTGACTGCAGTCCACACAGTGCAGTTGGCAACCTGAGAAGATCCAGTGAAGAGACAGGTGCTGCCTTGTAGATTGAGTCCTGATTCAAGTGTTGCCTGAAGTAAGTGCTACTGACTCATCGATTTCCAAGGAAAAAAGGGTGGCAATAAATTCCCTGCTTTGTTTTAGTCAGTTTGAGCTGGGTGTTCTGCCACCAGCACCTGAAAAGTTTTGAACAAGAGAGAGTGTGACATCAGGCTATGAAGTTTCTGTTTCTGGAGCAGCTGAATATGTCTGTCTTCTCAGTGAGCTGTCTTCTTCCTAGAACCACACCTCTGCCCAGCCCAAGAAAAACATGAGTACCTTCCCTACCCTAAAGCAGGAGATTGGCTGTGGCACAGACCAGATTCCCCTCACTACATGTGCAGGAAGAGAAGTTTAGGAAGGGGGACAGCAGATGGAGTGTGCATCATGATGCCATCATCCCATGTCCAGGGCCATGCAGAGGGGACAAAGAATTATAACCAAGGGGTATACATCTAGAGAGGAAAGCCAAGCTCAGTCTAAGCCAGTGGTTCTTAGAACTGAAGGAACCTGAAAAATACATCTGTTCCCACCTTGCATTTCACAGACGCACAAACCAAGGTCAGTTGTTTGTTCTTCAGGGTACCTACCCAAAGCCAAGGCTATAACCCAAGTCTTTAATCAATGAAGTTTTCTAATATGTAGACTTGTCAAAAGAAAAAAAAAGTAGAATTGACTATCATAAAACAAGGTATTTCCATTGCTAGAATGACAGGTGGAGACCAACTCATCACCTATCACCAATTCCCATGCTGGGAGGGAGGCCGGAGGACATAATCAAAGTTTCCTTTCAAATCTAGGAGCCAGTGAAGACTCTCTACAATAATAAAAGTGCATTCTGTGGCACAGGGAACACGAGTTTTCTCCTTAGTGTGAAAGCAGGCTGGGGCATCTGTCTCAGTGTTCCGTCGCTGTTCACCTGTTGACTCACATCATTGTTGACTGCAGTGAGAATAGATAAGATGTCTTCCTGTCTGCAAGAAGAAACCACACACCAGGTCTTAGAAAGATGCCTCTTAGGTCAAGTAGGTGACTGTGTCACGGATACATATTATATTAATAATGCCCTCTCTAGTCTATCTTCAGAGAGGGTTAAAAGGATAAACATGGCACAGCTCCTGAACTTCAACAGGATTCAGACATGAAAATTTTTTGAAGGACAATTTATATATGCTATTCAAAATACAAGACAGAATGTGATCAACACCATATGACAAGGAGGTCAAAGTTCCACTGCATGTTGAGAGGAGAAAATACTTCTGGCTAAGAGGAAGAGCAAAGGCTCCATGGAGGAGGCAGCAGTTGAGCCTGGGATTGCAGGACCTATAGTATTTACCAGAATCTTCTGGTGGTGGGCATCTACATATCACTGGAAGCAAATATAGGAGACAGCACTCAATTTTGAATTGTGGATTCATCACTCACTCACTGTGTGGTCTTAGGCAGGTTATTTACTTCTCTGTACTTCAGTTCTCCCAGCCCTAAAATGGGAGACATGATAGTCCCCATCTTAGAGATTGCCATGAGAATGAAATGATGTAATTCAAACTAAGCACTAAGAAAGCCAATTACACTATTCTACTATCATCTTTAGTGTCATCATACTACTATCCTCTTCCTATCTTCATACTACTATCCCCTTCCTCCTCTTACTCATCTTCATCACTATTTTTCAGGTGGAGGATGTGGGCCCCGATTGGTTTTCAGTCCCTATATCCTTCTTGGTACCAACTATTCTCTGTCCTCAAATCTTTTTCTGAGTTAATCTTTCTCATCATTAGCTCACCTGAACTATTACCTTCAGCCAAGAAGCCTTTCAAGTAGCTCCGGCCCCATTCTCAATGTTTTTTTTTTTTTTTAAGGGATCATGCATGCCAGACAAGTCCCCTGCCACTAAGCCACATTCCCCCAACCTACCATTCTTCATTTCATTATCCTGTTTTCCTTAGTTCATAGAAGTTATCCCTTCCTGAAATTTAAATTATTAATTTAAATATTCACTTGCTTATATTTTTATTTCCTGTCTTTCCCTCACCAGACTGTATGTTCCATGGAGCAGAGATTTTTGTCTCTTTTGTTCACAACTGCACCCTCACCCCCTAACTCAGTATGCAGTACAGGAGGCACATAGTAGGCCATCAATAAATATTGTTTTGTTCCTAAAGCTATAGCCATTGGCATTTGATGACTATGGTAGGCATGGAAGAGTTGGTTTAAAAAAAAAAAAAAAAGAAGAGCAGAGTTGACTCAAGGCACCAATTTGGAATTCCCAGTAGAGCATGGGCCATTCCTAGAAATGGGGATTCAAGAGCAGGAGCTCCTGGAGAAGGGCTAGGAAGATGAATTCAGAAAGATGCAAGCTGAATGTGAGATCCAAGGGCAATACAGGGGTGGGATGTGTGGCAGGTTGTGAATGAAGGTGACTCAGGCAATAAGTCATTCATCAGCCCAGCAAATACTTATCAACCTCATCAATATGATACTATATCAAGTTCTGAAGATACAAAATTGAATTAAACAGGGTCTCTGCACTGCAAGAATTCAGAAATGAGTGGGCCGCAGATACAGTTTGGGAGACATTTTCAGGAGGCACCAGTGGTCTCTGGGTACTGCTAAAGCTGCCAGTGGAGAAGAGAGAAGAGAGAAGAGAGAAGAAGAAGAAGAAGGGAGGGAGGGAAGGGGAGAGAGAGAAAAAAGAGGTCCAGAAAAGAACCTGGTGAAGGCCCATTTCCAGGGTTCAGATAAGAAGCATTATGGCAGAGACAGAAGGGAACTTGTCAGAGCAGTGGCAAATAGAAGGCCAAAGACAGCACAAAGGCACTCAGTAAATATGAGCGACTAGTAAACTAATAAATGAAGGGACAAATAAAAAGTCCCCATATCTTTGTTGGTGCTGTTGCCTTTGTCCAGCACATCCTTCACCCAGATTCTTTGCATAGCATCTATTTGTCATCTCCAGAAGCCTCCTCTAATCCTCCAAATCTGAGTGAAGTACTTGTCTTACATGATTTTATAACACCTATGCTTCACAAAGTGTACTGACCACTGGGATGCTCTTCCCTACCTGTTTGTCTATCCCATTAGCTTGGAAGCAAATTGAGTATAGGGATTATGTCTTTTTTTTTTTTTTTTTTTTTTAAATTCTGTATCTTCCTCTTCTTTCCAGGTCTGTGCTGATGCTCAATACAAGTTTGTTAGATGGGTGGATGGATGCATGGATACATTGATGGATGCATGAATAGATGGGTGAGTAGATGGTGGTCGGATAGGTACATAAACAGGTAGAAAGATGAATGGTGAGTGAGTGAATGGGTGGATAAATGGATAATAGATAAACAGGGAGGTAGATACAGAACACTCACCTTGGTACCAACTTCTTCAGATGATTACACAGAGACTGAATATACCAGCTGCCATCTCTTATATGCCGAAAGGACATATAGCCTGGGACAGTGGCCAGACCAAGCAAGAAGTCAGCCTCAGTGGGAACACTATCCATAAGGGAAAGATGCTTAGAATTCTGAGCATCTGCTTCAGTTAACACAGAAGTTTGTACCTCTGGCCCTTGACAGGCCTGAATGAAAAAGAGTTTTGGTTTGTGAGCCAGCCCAGGGCACTGCTGGGCTGTGAAGTGACGCATGATACTCCGAATAGGAATTAGGACTCCATCTGAAGAGTAGACTGCTCCAAATTCCCCATGGGTCAGAATGCAGAACACAAAGCAGTCCCCATCAGCATGGCCTGGATGACTCTTATACTCCTGCAGAATCTTGTCCATGACTCCTTTAGTCACATCATCATATTTGTGTGCTGTGAACCCAAGCCACTCAAACACAAGCTTTAGACACTCTGGGACCAAAAAGAAAAAGAAAAAAAAAAGGAGAGAAAGAGGAAATACTGAAATGAAGTAAAGCAAAATGAAATAGAGTGAAACAATAATAATAGTTTTTAAAAATCACATAGCTCTGCCTAGCATACACAAGGCCCTGAGTTGAAACCCCAGCCTTTAACATTAAAAAATAAAATAAAATAAAAGCACATACATCAAAAAGTCTAAAGCCCTGATTTTTTTTTAACTTTTGTAACAATAACATCTTAAAATTACCTTGCCTTCTCAAAGGACCCACAGTGTCACAATAGTCCTGAGGGTCAGCAGTGACCAGTGTTTTATTCAATTTCACAGTCTAGAAGCTGAGGCTAAGGCCCTATGACTCTTCCAGGGTCACAAACCTAATGAGAGGTGAGCCAGAGCTCAAACCCCAGATTTTTGGGTGCACCTGGCCTTCCCCCAAACTACAAATAGTCAGGTACTTCTGCTACTTGGGATGCACAAGAGCTTCAGAAACATTTAGATATCATCTTTAAATTTCTGTGGAAGACAAAGTTTAATGAAAGAAAATATGAAAATGAAAAAGAATTTTAAGATTCCCAACTAGCATTTGATACACTATTCCATGCTTACCAGCATCTCTATGGGTTCCTGGTCTATCTTTCAGGGAGGTAAAGCTGTGATTGTTGATAATGATACAGTGGCCTCTGTGTTTCCGATCCATCCTGTACATAATTGTCTCCTTAAGGAAGAAGAGATAGAACCCCTTATTTGGGACCATCATGTTAGGAGGCTTAATATTTCTAATGAGCTACTTCAGCAGATCCATATGAGGAAAAGCAGGATGTATCTCTTAATGCCAGTTTTTTTAAAACCATTTTTTTACACTTAAGTCTAAACTCCTTAGGCTGGTGGTGTATCTCAGTGGTAAAGGACTTGTTTAGCATACACAAGGCCCTAGGTTCAGTCCCCAGCCCAAAAAAAAAAAAAGTATGTAAAATGGGGCTGGGGATGTAGCTCAGTCGAGTCAGCACTAATCCCCAGCACTGCAAAAAACAAACAAACAACAACAGCAGCAGCAACAACAAAAAACTTGTAGTATGGAATATGCCAGATAATTACTAAAGTTACACACAGAAAGACCAGAGATTCTGACCACTCTGCACTTAATTTTGCTGCTGAGTTATGATTTGAATACAATTTCAAATGTTCTTTTAAAGTCCCACAGCCCAGGATAAAGGATACTGTCATTTGCATTAAAGATCAGCCACCTCCTTTCTTTCAGGATCCCACTTCTAGTACCAGAAGCTGAGCTTTCTCAAGGTCCTGACCCTAGTTTGAAATTAACCAATTAATTCTACAGTTAAATGCCAGGTCTTAACTAAAACTCAAGATTCCCACTAGAATCTCAATTTCCAGGGTTAAAAAACAAAACATGTATTTTAACACTGGCAAACCCAGGAGATGGATATATATATATATATATATATATATATATATATATATATATATATATATATATATATATATATATATATAATATATATATATATATATAATCTTCCTTTTCAGATTAGAAATGTGAAGAAAGAATAAGCAAGGATTTAACAAGGCAACAAAAATATCAAGTGATGTATATATATTTTTTGAAAGGTCAGTTTCTGGAGTGATTGATACCTCTGAAAGCTGAGGAATCTCTTTTTTAACTTTATTTCTCAATATAAGTCACAGTAGGAATTTTAAAATTCGTGCAATTATTTTTGAAGGCTAATGTAAACATTTTGCAATTACAGATTAAACTTTGACTTTGGCTGGGTCTCTGTGGAACTAAAATGATTTGAAAACCTGGTATATTTTTGATCCAACCAGAAAAAAAGTGGCTTTACTTGATTTCAAAAAAAAAAAAAAAAAAGAAAGAAAAGAAAAAAAAAATAAAGAAAAGAAAAGAAAAAAGAAATGTCCTCCCTCTGGAAATAACCCAAAGAGTATACATTCCTCAAAGTGCAAAGCAATATCAAGGCCTTCACAGGCAAAGGTCACAGGAATAGATGGGAAGATCAAAGAGGAAGGAAGAACCAAGGCAAAAATTCCTCTGAGCCCTCTCAGCTCAGGTGAGAGCCCTGAATAAACTCTCCAGACCTTTGTCCAGATTTCAGAACCCAGGGTGTTAGCAGGTGCTCCTACGGTCTCCATGGACACAGGAATTAGTGCACCATTTGTGGCTTCATTGCCTAGAAAGAAAAGTACCCAGACTCCTCAAATATCTTTCTCTAAGCATTTAGATTTCCTTGCTAATAAATTTCTGACATAGCATTAAATTCTGGAGAATTGTTTTAGTTTCAAGAAACTCCCAAGATATAAATTTGGCCTGCATGCCCTTGCTGATAGGAAAGACAAATGTCCTCATATTGCTATTTGCTCTGTTTGGGTTGAAAACTGCGCTGCTGGCAGAGGATGAATTGGGGAATTAAGAACATGTGGATCGGCTCAAGGGTTCCTGGTAGAAAGCACAGCTGGGTTGTCAGCATATCTCTGTCTCTGGGTATAGAGAAGCCTGGTGGACATCAAGAAGAAAAAAGGGAACGAGGGGAAGGTCCACAGCAATGGAATCAACTGGTGCCTTTGTCACTGGCTGAAGCTCACAATGCCTTGAAGGGTTTCTGCAAGCTCCGTTTCCTCTGGGTAATAATCTATCATGGGGTGGAAGTTCATGATAGGTAATTTATAGGAAAATGTAACATGCACCTGTTTTCTTCTCCCTCTCTCAGCAAGTTTGTGGTAGAACCACCAAGCTCTATCCTCATCTCTGGGGAACAGCTGGTAAATCAGCTAAAGGTCAGTCTTTGGAGCTCAGCTCAAGCTGTATGAGTCCAGTATTCCAAAGACCAGAGAACACACCAAAAGGACCCAAGGTGCAGTGCCCCTGTACACCTATACATCTTCCTCACTCTGGGAGAAGATAACACTCCAGGAGAAGGCACATCTAAACCTTGGAACTGCAGAGTTATAAAACTGAAAAAAATGGGCCTTGTTCTTCAGAAAAATGACTTGGCTGTCTAAGCTCATACAGTGTCCGGATGCAGAGCCAGCTCTTGGAGGGAGAACTCTGCTCTCACACTGCTGGGGTCGAATCCCCGAGTCACTCCTTTTTAGCAGTGGGACAGTTAGCAAAGGGATAGGCTTCATGGGTCTCAGTTTTAAATGGGTATTAAGTGGGAAAACATTAGTATCTATCTCCAAGCTATGGAAAGATTAAATGAGATGCTCCCTGGAAAGACTCTTAGGACAATGCTTGGCCTATGCCAAGTGCAAGAGTAACTCCCACCAGCACTGTCAACATCATATCAGGTTAGCCAAAAGGTGGCATGTCATGAATTCTAAAGGCTAAATTTCCTGGGGAAAAAAATGAGGAATAGACTCTGATAAACTTTACATATCATAGATGCTATGTTTGAATATGGCTCAAGTCCCCCAAGGCTCCACTATGAGTGAAGGCTTCCCATTCCAACTAAAGAGTTGGAATGGGAAGCACTTTCTAGTTGGAATGGGAAGCGCTGTGGAACTTTCAGAAGGTGGGGCCTGATGGGAGGTCCTTGGGTCCTAATGGGAGCATGGCCCTTAGAAGGCAGTTCAATTGTTATGAAAACCCAAGTTTAGTCCTACCCTGTCCTCCCTCTGTTCCTGGTTCAAGATGTAATCACTTGCTGTCTGCCATGATGTGACTTAGGCAAGAACTGAGTCAGTGCCATGCCCTGGAACATCCAAAACTAAGAAATAAATAATTATCTTCATTTTTATAGATAGCATGTGTCAGATATTTCATTATAGTAAGAAAAAACAACTAATACAACAGATTTCAGGCCACTTGCAGATTCTGGAATATTTTCCTAAGGTCATGGTTTCTGGGCAGAAATTCAGGGCACTCAAACACACCATTACTATTGTCCTTCCCTCTTGTTTCTGTGCCTCTGAAAAATAGAAGAAGCATCTAGAGCCGCTCTGTAAACCACATTTCCTCAGACTGCATATGCTCTGTTGCTGCTGGGCTGCAGGCCTCAGCCCCACCAGGGGTTCCTTCCCTCCCTACAGAAAGTGACCTAATTCTGAAGGCTGGGAGGAAAGGACAGTAGCTGCCAGAATTCTGTAGCATCTGCTATGCTAGGCTTTCAGCAGGAACCACCCTGTCATCTCCATCCCCCACAGAAAAACTTGGTACAAACCATACACTGTGGCATGCCTCAAATTGCAATAGGAAATGAATTCACCACTAAGTTATCTTCAACTATTTGGTATACATCAAATATATCTACTCCTGCCATACTGATCCAAGTTGTAGAAAATACATAAGTACATTACACCTACCATGATTCATGGAGTGCTCATTTTGCCACAATCCCTCCTATTGAGGAAACAAGAGATGTATGAAATGTAGGAAGTTCACACAGGATGATGCTGAAGACATCGTCACATGAAGGAAGTGAAGAATCATATTTTAGTATACTATCTCTTCTTTAATTTAGAGAAGACACAGGGTATTTCCCCCCAAAAGTAATAGTAGGACGAATAAACAAATAAATATTAATAAAAATGGTAATTGAATGGAAAGGGAAGAGAGGCAGGGAAGCAGTGTAGACTTCTGAGTGTGCTCTACAGGTTTTACTTTGGATCTACATTGATACTGTTTTGTTTTGTTCGGGCCAGCACTAGGCATTGAACCCAGAGTGCTCTGCCACTGAGCTACATCCACAGTCCTTTTACAATTTTTTAAAATTTTGAAACAGGGTCTCACTAAATTGCCTAGGCTGGCCTAGAACTCGCAATCCTCCAGCCTCAACCTCTCAAGTAGCTGGGATTACAGGTAAGTGTCACCATGCCTGGCTTAATGTTCCATATGTAAAATACAAACTTAAAACAAACTGGAGGGCCCATCTTTTCTGCATCCTCCTCCTCACCCACTACCTACCCCCATCCTCAGTCTCCAGGAGAAAGCTCCAAAGAGGACTTCACCAAGGTGTTGGGAAAGGAGTGACCCTGTAATGGGCAGCAACAGGACTTACTGGTGCTGCCCATCACAGGGGTGACAACCAGCAAGTCACCCTAGGTCAAAGATATGCATCCCTGCTGAAAGCCACAGGGAAGTGACTTTTGTTTAAGCCAGACCCATGCTGCTGGACCTCAGTCCCATGGCTGCACAATACTGGAATTTCCCGTCTTTGGGGGATCAAATACAAAGGAGTTCCAGTTTCACTTTTCAAAAGACTTCCTGCCTTTCTCTTCACACCCCACATTTTCCTGCCTGAAGTATCCTGGATTTCTTCTTGGTGGCATCCAAAGCCAGGCCAGGCTGCTTTCTGGTTTTGTCCAGAAACTGAGCAAATCTTCTGGGATTAAGGGAATGGCAGAAGCAGTGGCTGGCTCTGTCCAGCAGCTCCAGACTGGGCTTTCCTTGATTTGTCTCTTCAGGCAGAAGAGGGACTAGGTCAAATCTTTATGTCTATCTACTTCTTTGCCTGAGAATATCACATCCTCTGTTAACACCACCCACATCTTTGTGTCAAAGAGTGAGTCAATGACCAACATCTGGCCACATTCAGCCTTCTTTCGACTGTTTTCAAGAGGAGTCTAGTAACCTCTCAGAAAGAAGCAGTTGTCACATCTCAATAGAAAGGTATGCCTCTCTTTCAGAAAATCTCACAATCAAAAAGACTTAGGTTTTTTTTTTAATTGTTGATGGGCCTTTACTTTATTTATTAATTTATTTTTATGTGGTGCTGAGGATCAAACCCAGTGCCTCACACATACTAGGCAAGTGCTTTGACACTGAGCCGCAGCCCCAGCCCCAAGACTTAGTTTTAAAACAAATTAGGGGACGTAGCTTGAAATGCAAAGGCCTTTTTCCTCTTAAATTTAATTTTTAGCAGTGTTCTTTTAACAAGATAACCTTCAGGTGCATATGAAACATGAAATGATTTTCCATGGAAAAAGGCAGGATTTCCTACATAACTTTTAAGACACCTTCCTGCTCTGAGAGTCTGACAATATATGTAATGTGAGGTTTTGCCCCACCCACTCAGCCCTATGCACTCCCAATACCACCACAACGACCCCACCCTCATGTGGCCATGACCAGAATCATCCCACATCTGCTTCAGAGACCAATGCCAAGCCATACCCCTTTAGAGAACAATGAATTCTAAAAGGTAAAGAGTAAAATCCTGTGTGTGTGCACATCTGTGTATCACCTACATGCATGTGAAGCCTTCGTGTACAACACTGGTTGAAAAAGTAGGTGAGGGGAATTAAGTTTAGCAGGCAATTTATCTTAGAATTAGGGAATCCTAAAATGTCAGTGCTGGGAAATTACATTTTTAAAAAACTTCTATATGTATGTAGGGTGGTGAGGGTGGTCTGCAATTCCCTGCTCAAAGCTATGGTAGGCACTTGATAAGTGTTGGTCTAATTTGATTAGAGGTGGGTGCTGTGGTTGTGGCTCAGTGGTAGAGCACTTGCCTAGCATGCATGAGGCACTGGGTTCAATTCCCGGAACCACATAAAAATAGAAACAAACAAAATAAAGGTATAAAAAAAAAATAAAAGGGAGCCACTCTTCCTCAATTCCTCTTCCAATTAGATGTCTAACTGCTTTTCTAGGATAAGAATTCATTGAATCAAGGGTTGTTTTCCTAGAAAAAAGAAGTCAGTTTAGGGTTTTAGAATAATTGCAATTTTGTCCCATTTGGGAGAGGAGAGAGGGAACCTAGATTAACAAATAAAAAATGAATCACTTTCAAAGTGCCCTCCCAACACAGAAGATTCCTTCAAATGCTTAACTACCCCCACCTGCAACGTGGTGGTTCAGAGCAGGACCTCAGACCTCCAGCCAGGCTCTGGGTCAAGCTCTGTCTGCCTGTGAAGATTATAGGTTGTCTTTGCCCAGCCTTTGCAGCCATAGGCCACTGAATGTTTGAGACCCTCAGTAGTAGAGTGCCCCTGGCTTCAATCCCCAGTGTTGGCAAAAACAAAAACCTATTTATACAGCATTTATGTTATATAAGTTATTGCAAGTAATCTAGATGATATAAAGTACAGGGGAGGATATGCATAGGTTATATGCAAATACTAAGCCATTTTATATAAGGGAATTGAGCATCCACAGATTTGGGTATCTTTGGGGAGTTTGGGAACAAATTCCCCATGGATAATGAGGGACAACTATACAAAAAGTAAACTACATACTATAGAAATCAGACATCTTGACCAAGTAATCAAAATCAGCATCACCGATGGAGGGCAGGATGAATATCATGTACCTCTAGATAGGATGCCCTGAGAAAGACACCATATCACTTATATGATGTTGTGACCAGAATATATAACTTGAATCTAATCAAGAGGAAAAACCACATGCACCAAAAATAGAAAAACTCTATTAATTTTTATAAAAGGTGGGAGGGATGACTACATAGTTCAAAAGTCTCCATGTCATAAAAGAGAAAGGAAAGTTGTGGAGATGTTCAAGATTAAAGGAAAGTACAGGGACATGACAACTAAATACAATACTGTATTATATTTATATGATCTTAGATTGAAATTTTTATATCATGCATATATATATTGATACTAGAAACAATTCAATAACAAGTCACATTTAAATTTTATAAGAAACACACAAACATTAAAACACTGGTTACAGAAAACAGAATAGGATGAAAAACTATAAGGTATGATTCTTTTTTAAAGAGAGAGAGAATTTTATATTTATTTTTTAGTTTTCGGCAGACACAACATCTTTTTTTTGTATGTGGTGCTAAGGATCAAACCCAGTGCCGCACGCATGCCAGGCGAGCGCGCTACCGCTTGAGCCACATCCCCAGCCCAAAGCTATGATTTTCCTTTTCATTAAAGACCAGCACCCTGTGAGAATAATCAAGTCAATTAGCAATACTCATCTGTACTGCAACATAATATATCCAAAGGAAAGGTAGTGATTGTACTGATTTTATTATTTTTTTCTAAGCCATTTTTGTCTTTCTCCCACTCAATGCAAAGAAACAAAACATTATTTAAAAAAAAAAAGTCACTATTATGTACCCAAAACATCTTTTGATACTGGGCAAGTTCCTCTACATGAATCACTTTAGGTCATCCACCATGATGAACCCCTTTCTCTCACAGGATCAGTGTTCATGCCTAGATTTCTGGGCTGCCCAATTTCCTTCACTGCACTCCAGTGACAGTTTCAAAAAACAGGTTCCTCTGCAAGTCCCCTAGATTTAATTTTGCACTGGCAGAGTAAAAAACTATCAAGGACACTATTGGGTCAACAGCCAAAATTGAAATATGAACCATTAATGTGACAACAATATTGTATTAATTTAACATTTTGGCACTGATAACTGTACTATAGTTCTACAAAAGAATATTCTTATTCTTAGGCAATACATACTGAAGCAATTAGGGATCAAGGGTCTTGATATATACAGCTTGCTTTCAAAAAGCTCAGAAAAAATTATGTAAGCATGGAGAGAGAACACAAAAATGATAAAGCAAGCAGCATACACGTATTCTCTGGGTTATTTACATTCTTGCTACATTTCTGTAAGATTGAATATATTTCTAAATTTTAATGTTGTACCTATCAAAATACAAGATCATGAAAGTAGTAAAGAAGCCATAAAAAATTTTTTTTCAGGACTAGGGATTGAACCCAGGGCAAGCACTCTACCACTGAGCTATACATACAGCCCCCCATGAAAGGAAATTTTAAGAATAAAAAATAAAACTCCCACAAATGACCCAATTAGGAAATGGGCAGAAAATCCAAATAGACAAAAAAGGTATACATATGGCCAATAAGCATATGCAAATTAGCTCAACATCATTACTTGTTGAGGAAATACAAATCAAAGCCACATTGAGACTCACATTTATGAGGAGGACTATTGTGAAAGAAAGAAAGAGAAAATAACAAGTGTTGATGAAGATGTGGAGAAATTAGAACACTTATGCATGGCTGCTGGAAATATAAAATGGTACTTCCACTGTGGAAAACTGTATGGCAGGTCCTTAAAAAGTGGATGATAGAATTACTATATGATCCAGCATTTTCACCTATGTGAATTACCAAAATAATTAAAAGAGATATTTTTATACCAATGATCATAGCAGCATTATTCATAGTTGCCAAAAGGTAGAAGTTATCCAAGATCCCACTGGTGGATGAACAAAGCATAACACATTCATTAATTCCTAGATATACTACAATGTGGATGAAACTTGAAGCCAATCAAAAAAGAGTATATGTTGGGGCTGGGGTATAGCTCAGTGATAGACAACATGCTTACCATGCATAAGGCCTCTGGACTTAATCCCCAGTATGCAAAGGGGAAAAAGTCTTTTTATATGAGGTATCTAGAATAATCAAATTATAGACACAAAGTAGAACAGTGGTTTCATGGGACAGGAGAAGAATGAAATGTGAAATTACTATTTAATGGATCCAAAGTTTCAGTTAGGATTGAAAAAGTTCTGGAAATGAATGGTAGTGACACAAAGCACTTAACACAGCTGTATATTTAAAAGCAGTTAAGGTGGTAAGTTTTATGTAATGTGTATCTTATGATAATTAATGTTTAATGGTAAAATTTATGGTTATATTTTACCACAATTGAAAAAAATGAAAAAAAAAATTTACAAGGCCAAGATCATTTCACTAATTTTGACAGATATTGATAAAGTAGAACTACCGGAGCATGTTGGAAAGAAAGGAACTTAGGAAAGACTCAGCATTCCCAAGGTTCACTGTCACATTGTGAGCAACATTGAAGATTCTCCCAAGGTTGCTCTACACAGTCTTCGACTGTTGAGTACTACAGAAACCAGGAACCCAGTTCTTAACCTTCTGGGGGGGACAGCTTCATAATTTGTAGAGTCCTTTGTTCATACATTATTAATAATGTCACAACAGTGACAGAAGACTATTTAAACCAAGGAAGAGGGTCCTGTGAAACCCTATGGCTTGTATACCCATGAAGCCAGACTGATCTTATCCTACAGATAAGAGCAGAGGCACCATTTTAAAGCAACCCAAGGGAGTGCTGTGGTAGCTCAGGCCAACTACTGAGAGCTAATTGTCAAATTTTCAGGAAATCTGCAACCTGGTCGATGTCATGTTGATCATTTGAAATCAGCCATGGTGGGAATATTTACAAATGCTACCTATCAGGATCCATCCCTCCCTTCTCTCTCTCCCTGGAGACTGGAGGTGGAAGTAGACAGCTGGTAAACAGGCCTGAACAGCACTCAACTTACTGTTAAGGCTCCATGGAACTGCTTAATGTCTGATGGAGTAAATATTTCTTCCTGTCCTTGAGGCAATGATTCAGTTTCTTTGTCCACAGGAGGTGTCACTTCCTGGGCAGCTGTAAATAAAACCACAGGCAGAAAACAAAAAACAAAAAACAATTCACCGTCTAACTAATACCAATCCAAGACAATCAATCATCAAAAGTTACTATTTTAAAGAAATTTTTAAATTTGCAATGGCATTTCTTATGGAAGTCTACATAAATACTCAGGAAAAAAATGTGAATTTATAATTATTTTTATTGTTGTTATATTTTTATTCTTTGTATTTCATATATTCTTTCTTATTGTTTCTATTATTTTTATAATTTTATTAACTCCTTAAAACTACCATATATTTTACCAAATAATATTTCATAATTTATGGTACTTAATGTTTCAGATAGTTGAAAAGATTCCAAAAGGATTTCCTCAAAAAATAGTACCAGAAGTCAGGCTACAAGAATAAAAAGAAAGAAAGAAAGAAGACAAAAGAAAAAACATTCAGAAGTGGTAGTTAAATGTATCATATTCATAAAAAGGATTTATTTGAAATTATTAATAAGAATAAGCTAGCTATATCTGTATTGTATTCATGGAAAATGTCAGGCATATTGGGTGGGGAAAAAGCAAGTTACAAAATATAATTAGCATGGTCCTGTTTACACATACATCACACACACACTCACAGTTGTTTCTATACAGAAGAAAATCTACAAGAATATATTCTTTTTTTAAAGTTATTTTTTTAGTTGTAGTTGAACACAACACCTTTATTTCACTTGTTTATTTTTGTATGTGGTTCTGAGGATCGAACCCAGAGTCTTGCACGTGCGAGGCGAGCGCTCTACTGCTGAGTCACAACCCCAGCCCACAAGAATATATTCTAAACAGTGGTTATCTCTGCAGAATGGGTTGGCAATGAAAGGAAGAAGAGAAAGATTTTTATCTTCCACACTCTGTATTATTTTCATTATTTGAATTTTTATTTAATTTCATTATAATTACATATATTATTTTTAATAATACATTTAAAATATTAAAGCAAACAACAAAGTTCAAGTAAACTCAGAAAGTGAGCCAGATGACCTTAAATAAAGTCAGGTCTTAATCAAACAAAAGGGACTTGGACTTTAGATCACATAGAAGAGTCTGAGCTCTTCACACCCTTTCCGTTCAGTCTTTAACAGTTTTTCATCCTAAAAGCAGAATTAGGCCCAAACTCAGGATTGTAGAAAGCCAACATTAAAAGAGTAATAATACTTGCCATCCGAGCAGACCACACAGATAGGTTTAAAAAAGAAACAGGAGGGCTGGAGTTGTGGCTCAGTGGTAGAGCGCTTGCCTCAAATGTGTGAGGCACTGGGTTCGATTCTCAGCAACACATATAAATAAAAAATAAAGGTCCATCAACAACTAAAATGAATAAAATAAATATATTTTTAAAAAAAAAGAAAGAGGAAAATCAGAACTCTTCTGATATACTCAAGACTCTGTGAGGCAGATGTAAATGCTGACCACACAGAAACCAGTGAGTCTCCTCCAGAGTTCAAATATCTACAATAACCTGCTCCCCTATATCTACAATAACCTGCTCCCCTGCCCTGTGTTTCTTTGTGTGGGAAAAAATGGGTGAGTAGAAAAAAGACACATATCATTTGGAGTTCACATGAGGATTCCAAATACTCTTTCAGTATCAACTTCCTGCTTTTCATTTCCTATTTGATAATGTGACTGAAAGAACTGTTTTTATTTGTCATAATAATTTTTAATTAAATTTACATTTATTTATTGTTTTAGTTATTGTTTGAGATTTTATCAATTTCACAAGAATATATTTTGTTTCTCAACTTATTTTGTCTTCACTGAATTCTTAGAAGGAAGCTTCCTCTTGGCTAATTTCATTTTTAAAGAAAGAATTTTGCATGCTAGATTAACTCACTGAACAAAATATGGGTGTAGCAGAGAAACTTCCCAAACATAGTCATGAATTATTATATATTGTTCTTAACAGTGGAAATAGACCCAGAGAAATTTATGTTTATGATAAATATTTACTATTTAGCATATTGACATTTGTCATGTATGATTCCTGCCCTGTGTTTCCACCTTTACATAATATCAAAGAAAAACTATCTTTGTAAGACATACCAAAGCTCTTGTCTAGTGTGTACAATGCCCTGAGTTCAAGCCTAAGCACAGTCAAAGGAAAAAAAAAAAAAAGAATGAGCTAGCTATCTCTGCATTATATTCATTTGCCTAAAACTACTTTCCCCCACTAGAACATAAGCTCCAAAAGGGCAGGAGCTTTGCAATATACCTCCAATTTATAAAATAATGCCTGGGCTAAAGTATGCATTCAATAAATATGTACTGAATGAACAAATGAGGAGATTTCTGGCTTTCCCAAGAAAATATTACCAAAATGATAAGAAAACCTCCTACATATAAATATGGGGCAAGTAAGCAAAAATAAGCTGCTTACCTTTCTCTCTTTTATAGTTCTCTATCTTCCTTAGAAGGAAAGGTGCAACCTTTTTAAAAACCTTCTCCAGTAATATCACATTATCTTCATCTATTTCAGTGTTTTTTTCTAGGTAGGCCAATAAACTTAGAGGACTCTGCAAGAGAATCAGTAGAGTCACATTTACTTACCTTCTGATTATCATTCACTTAAACACTACCTGCATGGACACTAAGCACCAGGTTTTGCAGTGATGAATATGGTATAGCATCTGCCTCCAAGGGGCTCAATTTACCAAGCAAATCTCTACACAAGCCATGTTAATAACAGACACCAAAGACACATAACTCACTGTATGATAGGAATAGTGCTTGGTGCTTGTTATAGATTAGCCTAAAAACAGCCCAATGAAGTAGATACTGTTATAATCTCTATTTTAAAGATGAAATAACTGAAGTACAGAGAGGTTTAGTAATTGGCTCAAGGTCACAAAGCCAACAAGTGGCAGATCTGGTGCAATCTGATATCAAAGTCTGTTTTATTGGCCAATGAGCTATACTGCCTCTAACTCACAGCCATAAACGATATCATTGATTGGGGAACCAGAAAAACAAGGACACCAAAGAAATGAGGGGGGAAATGGGAAGAACATCATATTTGGTATTTTAGAAGAAAATATCTATGATGTTATCCTGTGTGTGTGTGGGGGGGGTGGAATCACAAATTGGCTAATATGATTTTAATATAGATTTACATATGTGGTGGAAGGTACCATAGACCTTTCAGAGATTAGAACTTAATGTATTGATCGGGTTATTACAAATATGAACAAAATTATATCAGAGCCCACAGAAAAGAGCAATCAGAAAGAGAACATCTGAACACCATCTAAGTGCACACATATCCATTGGCCAAGTGGGAACAGGTAAGGGAGAGTCCAGTCTCTGTTAAACAGTTTAAAGTTTGAAAAATGGCTATGTCCTCGGGAACCTTGGAAAGAGGCTAAAGTACAAACCCCAATGAGCCTTAGGCCATGGCTGACACCGCAGGCTGGGTCAGGCCATGAGGAACACACACACCACAGGAGGAACTGGGGCAGGAGTCCCTTGGGTCAAGGGCTGCCAACAGTGATCATTAAAGAGAACAGGGACATGATCAGATTTGTCTTCAAATGGAAATCTTGGAAGTAGATTGAAGACAGAAATGGATTGAGAAAATATTGGCTGGAAGATTAAATAACCTGGTGAAGATGATCAAGACCTGGTCTAGGACTAGTGATGGAAAAGCAGAGGAGACACTGGACATCTCTGAAGCATAATTTGGTGGGTTTTAGGGATCACTTGGAACTGGGTGAAGAAATGAGGAAAGAGTCCAAGATGTCTTCCAGTGGTGACAATATTCATTTATTCCTCATTCATCCATCCCGCATACCAGCCTCCATATAAGTTGCACATGGGCATCGAGGCTTGAACTGCATGAAGGATGACAAAGCCCTACTGACAAGATGGAAAAGGATATGCCATGCAAATACAACCAAGTGGGGACGTGAGGAGAAACTGGAAATTGGTTATTAGGAGGTACTTGGTAGTTTCAGCAAGAAAAGTTTCATTGGCACGATACAGGTGGAAGCCATTCTGGAATACATTGGAAAGTGCCTAAGAGTTGAGTTAGTGGAGAGAAGAGTATGTGTAGACTACTTTTTCAAGAAGGTTAGCAGTAAAGGTAAAGAGGAAGCTGTAGCAGCAACATGTAAAGAGACAGGGTTAATAAGTCGTGTGTGTGTGTGTGTGTGTGTGTGTGTTTTCCAACATGGCACTCAAATCACAAACAATCCAGGCAAAAGGCCAGAGTTTCAAAGTCTTAACTGGTTTCTGTCTGCATCTGGTTAAAAAAAAAAAAAAAATGAATTTTCGAGAAATTCCAGAAGCAGGATGACCTGTTGTGGAAAGGCAAAGATGTGTCACTCCACAGCAGCCCCAACATACCAGCTGGTCAAGGGGCAAAGTAGAAGAGAGGTGTGGAGGAAGAATCTTCCTGAGTTAATCAGCCGGGCACAAAGGTCAGAAGGAACTCCCCCACCACCCTTGCACCATGTCCCGCAGCAAATAATACACAGGTGAGCTTTCTGGGAACCTTGAAACCAAACTCCATGTCTTGACAACAGCCTACCAGGAGGAAAAAAAAAAAGGAATTAAGACATGATCCCCCAAAATAACGATGGAAATCTTATATTGTATAAGAAGACACACACAAAAACACACAATTGAAATGGAGCCCATACATGGGTTTAAAAACACCACCCTGGCAAATACTAGCAGGACATTCCAAAAGTTCTTTATTTTGTTTCTTCACTAAAGAGCCAGTAGGTTTGGGTGTAGTTTCCTCTGCATCAGCCATCTATGCTGAAAGCTGTGCTGAGGTTGGAGTTCTAGACAGTTGTTCAGGTCTCACAGGAAGTGTGCAGGCAACTATTCTGCCTAATTGTGTAAGAGAGCTATCAAAGAGGAATCCCAGAATACCCTATAGAGGTCATATACTTTTTTTTTTTAGAGAGAGAGAGAGATAGAGAAATTTTTAATATTTATTTTTTAGTTTTCTGCGGACACAACATCTTTGTTTGTATGTGGTGCTGAGGATCGAATCTGGGCTGCACACATGCCAGGCGGGCTCGCCACCGCTTGAGCCACATCCCCAGCCCAAGGTCATTTACCCTTTTGACTGAGCCCAGTGGTACTCATCTGTAATCCCAGCTCCTTGAGAGGCTGAGGCAGGAAGACTGAGTTTGAACCCAGCCTGGGCAACAGAAAGACAGTGTCTCAAAGAAACAACAATAATAAAAAGTCACTTTTGTCCCCATGGAAAGGCCGTAAGAATTTAGAACCTTTTCCTTTTGGTTGAGGGGTATCCAGGTCCTCCTCCAATGACTATAAGTAAGTTATTTCTTCTGTGATAATTCTTTTGCAGTTGCAATAGTAGATAATGCAGCCTCTTTAATCCCTGGTAAGAAACTCCTCTGAGATACTTAGAAATTGTCCTCCACATACTTCAGAGCCTGGCCTGATTGCAAAGTCCAAGAGAGACAAACCCAATTATCGAATCATGACTCAGCCATGATTATATCATGAAGAATTTGACTTCCTTTTACTGTTGGACTGAGAAAAACATATCAAAAGCAAAAACAAATCATCTGGCTGCTTGAGCATGGGCTTTGTTGATTGACAAGCTAATTTAGCAGGAGGAGGAATGTTTGGAAGGCTTGCTCACAAAAATGATCCTGTGTACACTCAAAACACAAACAGAGATCTAGGACCTGTGCAACCAAAAGAGAAAGAAACTCTCCCCAGTTCTGGGTGGAAAAGCTCTGCAGTGTGGAGCATTGCAGAGACTCCTTCAACAAGTGCTTTTCCCCCCACCTCTCACTCCCCACCTCAGGTTGCAAGGACTTCCGTCCAGGATGGAGGGAGGGCTGGAACAATGAAAAGAGGTCTCATTTTATTTATAAATCCAGATACTGGAAAAATTGTAGGAGGATGCCCCAGGTTGGGAGAGAATGTTATTAGAAGCACAGGGAGAGCTTTTTAAACTGCAGGTATCTCTCCAATGTTGAGAATTTCAGCATTTAAAGAAAAATGCTGTCAGTTCAGCAGGCAGTCAGGTTGCATCACTGCAAACATGAGCACTGAAACACTAGGCAGAAGCAGAGAACACCTTGGTGCTTTATAAAAATTATCTGAAATTAAATGCTTGATTTTTTTTATTTGTCTAAGAGCTCACCCCCCCCTTCTCTATGTGCACATACACACACACACACACACACACACAATGTTTATAGAACAAGGTCTAAATTAGGACTAAAAGGGGGAAGGGGAGTATAGCATAGAATGGCTTTATGCTCTGACATAGGGAGAGGATGGATATAACAGGAGCAAATAATTTTCCAACTATGTGAACAATCATATTGGTAAAAGAGGTAGGAATATATATTCTGAGACTGTGGTATGTGTCATATGAAATAAAACAAAAACAAAGATTATCTAACATTCTAATTCTATCATCCCCTTGAAATAAGAACCAGGATTCTCAGTGTGAAGAACAGGAGAGGCAGGTATAATATAGAAATGATTAAATAAAAATCTAGTGGATATTAGTTTGAACTGAAAATATAAGTGGAAGTTATGAGATATTTTGTATTAAAAAAATTTCTCTCTCTCTCTCTCTCTTTCTCTCTCTCTCTCTCACACACACACACACACACACACACACACACACAATTTCCTAGCTCTATCCTTTGGGAAAAACAATTAGGAATAATTATCATCCCAGAATCAATGAACATCCCCAATACCTAATTTGCAGTCTTGAAATAACACTTCTCATTATAAGAAAACATTGCTTTATAATAAAAAGAAGGGATGGATTCTAGGACTGAGCAGAATGTTTACAAAGTGAACCTGGGACATCTTTGCCAGGTAACAAAGAAGTCTTTAAATACTATGACAGAAGAACCAATTCGAAGAGTCTCCCAGTGATCAAAAGAGAAACAATTTGAACCTCAATAAGGATAATTATCGCAATGGATTGAAATACCTCAAATATACATAAATCCACGAGTTCACCTTTATATATATTTTTATAATGGGCCATCTTCAAAAACTTCAGGAAACCTATTAATTATCTAGAAAACTACAGAAGTAAAAAAATAATCAAAGATTTATATGTAAACTGTGTCACTGGGTAACCAAGTAATAAATGAGGAGAAAACAAAATAATAGAATTTTAATGTTTCTATTTTGCAGCCTCCAAAGAATCAATCTATAAAACTGTTGAAACCCAACAGTTGCTATATATTTAAAAGAGAAAAAAAAAAAACAGAAATGGTTTTCTATGAAAGATCATAAAACCACCTACAGTCTTTCCAAAAGTCTGATGGAGCCTCAGAATGCAGCTGCCAGGTTGTGAGAAATGCAGAGGACAGAGGAACAAGCTGACCTACACCAGGTTGAGCAGCATCAGAAAAGCTCAGATACTGCCCTATGGCTCTTCAACAGGAAAGGGCTGAGAAAAATAAAGAGAGGAGGGGAGGGCCATACAGCTCCGTGGCGGGGCACTTGCCTGGCATGGGCAAGGTCCTGGGTTCAATCCCAGGTACTGGAAAGAAAAGAAAGCAACTGGGGGAATGGAACTTAACCTACAGATTCAAAAACTCTTGAAAGAAGAAAAACCGAACAAGACTAAACAAGAGATCTAGGGACTCCCAGTTAAGTGAAAAAGTCATCAAAAAACATAACGATGCAGTTCTAAAAAGTCAGGACAATGGTTACCTCTAAGGGCCAAGAAGGAACCTGACTGGGACAGGGCAAATGGAGCAATTTTCAGAATAGATGGGAATTTTTAATATTTTTTTCCCTGCATTTCTTTTTTTAAATTCTTGTCTATTCATTTATTTTGAAAGCACTCAGATCAGGAGCACATACAGCAAGTTCAGATGACACATTGTACAATATGATTTTGCTAAAATGCAAAATGTGGTTTCTTGACCTAGGTGGTGGTTTCAAGGGTATTAGCCTTATAATAGTGCATTACTCCGCATGTTTTGTGTCATTTTCTATACCTGTGTTCTGTTGGTTGTTTGGTTATTTTTTTTACAATAAAATGGCAAAAGAAAAAAAAAAGTGTAAAAAACAAAACCAGAAATGTATAAGATGAAAAACACAGAACTTCCAAGGACCATCTAAGGGAGAAAACTAGTAGATTCTGACAAGGAGCAACAACTATGAAAATGTTACATCTTTGCACATCACCCTCCCAGTTCTTTAGTTTCTCCTGTTACCTCTCCTAGTTATTACTGCAAAAATCACATAAAAGGAAAAGGTTCAAGGATTGGGCATGTAGCTCAGTAGGACAGCACTCGCCTAGCACATGCAAGGTCCTGGGTTTGATCCCCAGCACTACAAAAATTTTAAAAAAGGGTTCAGGCAGCTTTCTCAAACAGAAAGAGAAGATAGAGGATGGCCTCATTATTACTCCATTTTGTAACAGATTCCACAAGTCAGAGCTAAAATATGAATTAGACTCAGTCCCCACCCCTAAGGAACGCACAGCCAATCCTTGGAAGCAAGAAACACAAAAGGGAGAGTAGAGAATGACCAACAGAAGAACTCAAGAGGCTGAAATCCCTGAGGACTCTAGAAAGGGAATAAAATGACTCAAAGGTTATGGTCAGAAGAGACTGAACCCGTTCAGTCTCAGACCCGATTCCAGGAAATTTGTCTAATGAATTACAAACATAGTGCTCATTTGACCCATCACATAAAACTACTTCCCACTCCCCAGTGACTTTCTCATGTTATTTGTCAATAACATCAGTTGACCCAGGTTGAGGCTTCCATTTAGAATCTGGATGGTGGGTCCATGACTGTTCACTTCATGACTACGTTTCAACACTTCTACCCATGTTACATGTATTCTTTTGTCCTACTGAATACTGTTGTATTCTTATGTACTTACATAACTTAAAGTCTAATAAAAACAACAGCAAATAACACAATGTTATAGGGTAAAATTTGAAAATCTCCCCTTCTCAAACTAGCTAACTTGTTTGTCATGTTATTCAAGGCAAAAAAATTTTAATACTTACTTTTTTAGTTGTAGCTGGACACAATACCTTTATTTTATTTATTTTTATGTGGTGCTGAGGATCGAACCCAGGGCCTTGCATGTGCTAGGCGAGTGCTCTACCACTGAGCCACAATCCCAGCCCTCAAGTCAAAATTTTAAAATTTAATTTGAGGCTTGAGAGATACACATGCAACAATTGTGCTGCCTTTAAATATGATCAATACAGAGAAAACAATTCTGTTAATCTTAAAACCATTCCTAGTAATTCAACACACCTGTGCAGCCCTTTACAAAACATCATCAAACATTTGTTTCACTTGATTTTCACAAAAACCGTACCTAGGCTCCCTCAAAACCCTCACCTAAAGTAGGTGATGAACACAGAGCTCCCACTCTGCTATTGCTTACCACCTCTTCATTCCCTTCTTGTGCTCCAAATGACTTTTATACCATAAAACACATGACTTTTATACCATAAAACACATGACTGTCAAAAATAGTCAGTATTTACTGCACAGTTAAAATGCCAAACACTCCTGCTAGTGCTTTTTGCACATTATTTCATCTAATTCCTCAATACTAGAAGGAAGTGGTAAGATTAGATACAATTTGACACATAAGGAAATACAAAGTCAGAAATGTTCAATCACTTGGCTACAACACAGGGTTAGTAGCAAAATCAGGACTAGAATCCAGGCCCATCCAATGCCAAAGACAGTGTTCCTAACAATGATCCAGGTCCAAACACGGACCAAAGTCAATGTTCCTAACCACATATGGTACTGCCTCCCTTTTTCAAAAGAAAAATCTTCCTGTGTCAATCACAGGTGAAAGCAGTGCTTGCCTAAATCCCCAGCTGTAGGATTCACTCACCATCGAGACTTTGGGAATCTTATCTGCCAGCAGAAAGATGATGTCTTTCAAATTCTCTTCATCAATGCCTTCTGACAGTTCATAGAGCAGTTTTCTACGAAACACATCCAAAAGGACAAATGAAGCCTTACACTTGCAGAGGATACCATGGTAAATCCAGGGCTTTCACAAATGTTACCTGTCATTTGAATGATCAACACTGGGAGTGAACAATTATGACTCTCCTTTGATACATTCAAAAACAAAAACTCTGAGCCTCTAAGTGACCTATTTAAATTAAGATAACACACTGAGAAGTAGAGGCAGGCTGGCTGATTCCTGGTGCAGTGCTGTTTCCGTACTAGGAAAGTATAAACCCAGATTCAGTATGCTTTCCCATCTGACTCCATTCTAGAAATTCAGGCTTCATTTACAGGCCCTTGTTAGAGAGGACCTGATGTTGGCCAATATACAGCCCACTACATATTTAAAAAGGAAAGAAGTGACTTTAAGTTCTGGATAGTCCTATCATCCACAAACAGAAAAACACATTCACACACTAACAGATGCCAGGAGCATCCCTCAGATGTTTAGCTGGCAGAGGGGCAGCATGGAGTTCTGGAATTCATCATCCTTCCACTGACCCTAGGGTAGGTCACGTTCTGGGATCAGCTTCAAGGCCAAGGCCTAAAGGGCTGTAATCTCCACAAAACATCCTTTGAAGGTGGCTTCTCGTCAGGTTCTCCTAAGTGGATGCTACAATATCTATAGATAGTTTAAAACACTGTTGTCAAAGGTGTGGCCATGGTGGGCCCAATGCTGGTATTTTACCTTCTTGGCAAAATGTCTGTATGATATTTTATCTTTCTGGGTTTCTGCCAAAAACGTATAAAAATCTATAACCAGACATGACATGTGTGATGTCCCCCAGAGACATATTTCCTTTTTCATTTTGCTTATTTGACTCCAAGCATTCATTATTTCTTTGCTTAAGATTCTGGGATATAAGCAGACACACCAGAGCATCCCAGGAGGAAGAGCTGCCTGCCGGCACAGAGTCTGGGAACCCAGAAAAGCTCAGGACTCGCCACCTGGTGTGGCTTCATGATAGTGAGCAACTCAACAAAGGAAAGCCATGTTCAAGCCCAGGGCTGGGATCTGGAAACTTCATAAATCTCCCAACCATCTGAAACTGAGAAGTCTCCCCAAATAGAATCTCCTGGTTTATCCTTTTAGGGGGTAGATAAGAGAAAGATCTTAATTCCAGCTTTCTTTCAAAGCGCAAAGGCCAGAATGCACCCTCCACAGAAAAACCCTCCAGTCTTTCTCCCAGACACCTCCTCACCTGAATGGAGACAGCTTCCCTCTGATGGGAAGTAAACATTCCACCTGCTTTTTGGTGTAGCCGAGGTGCCGCAGCAGATAATTCTGCTTGATGGTATAGAGGAGTTCTGCCAGGAAGAAGGGGTCTTTTACACTTATCATCTCCCCTGTCATGAGATAATCAAAAAGATGCAAGGCAGACCTGCACTTTTCCATCTTATTCTGGGGGATGAAACCTATGCAGAGAAACTTTAGGCTTTCTACATCTTGAAACTTCAGTTCCAAATCGATAGCTAGAAGCTTCTCTCGAAATCTCAATTGACAGTTTTCATCTGAACTGGAACCCAGACTTTGATCTTGAGATGTGGCCATCCTGAAAAAGAAAATGGGGAAGGAGGCCTCAGAACTGAGTGAGACACGGGGCACGTTGGGTTCTGGATCCGCCCTCAGTTCTGGCCTGCTTTGTTCTGGGCATTTGCCAGGCTCTCTATGATTCCCATAGAGAATGGGGCATTAGAATTCTTGGAAGTGCCAAAAATTAAAATTACGCGGGGCTACTTCAAAACCCCACAGCCCAGCCTGCCGTATGAATGCACACCTGTAATCCCAGTGACGCGGGAGGCTAATCGTGTAGGATCACGAGTTAAATCCTTGGCACAAAATAAAAATTAAAAAGTACTGGGATGTAGCTCAGGGGTAGACCATTTGTGTAACATATGTGAGCATCTGGGTTCAATCCCCAGCACCACAGGAAAAAAAAAAAACTAACCCAGAAAACTCTACCCCAACATTACAAGTTACCTTCTAGGAGATTTGGAGGGAGTTTTATTGGAATTCCATTTACTCTGTTTTCTCCCAAATAAAAAATGTCTCCAGCGGGAGAGAGTTAAGAGTGGGGAAGATACAGCACATTTTCTCTCAGGCCTGGTAACCTGGTTGGAACTTGTAAGCTTCCCAATTGGCAGAAACAGCACTTAGGTCTATTTTTTAAGTTGTAGAAACAAAGCAATCTTGGCTTGGTGAACATTTCAGAAAGAACAACCTAAGACCATCAGGTACCCTGAGGGACGAGAGTTCATCCTTAACTGCAGGTTGCTAACGCTAACCAGCCTTTATCTCACAACAAGGAAGCCATCACCCTTTTCTTCCCATCTACCGGGAAGAAAAGGGTGGGGCTGTTTTTTGTTTTAAATAAGAAATGCTCAAATTAGTGTTGGACGTTACAAAAAAGTACTTATCTACCTGATCTATTTATAAACTCTAGGATTCCCTACACTGAATTTCATTCTACTCAAAGGAGAAACGCATTGATAAAGATCTTCACTAGAATCTTATTCATTCTATAAAGACTGAGGTATGAATTCATTTTGCAGGATTTCAGCTATTTTAGAAGCAGGAAAATACTTTCTAAAGGTAGGAACAAAGTTTCAATAACAAAGAGTGTTTATATCACTTAGATATTATAAATTTTCTTCTGGGCTTCCATCTGAGTTTCTTTAATTTGAATAGATATTACTTTTGTTGTCAGGAAAAAAAGAAAATAGATGGCATTGTGGTGTGTGCCTGTTGTCCCAACTACTTGTCTTGGCAACATGGCACAGCCCCACCTCAAAAGAAAGAGGAGAAGAAGAAGGAGAAGAAAAAGGAAAAGAAAAGCTTCTATTTTAATGTAACATGAGTTGGGGTCTTCACCAACTGGTTGCTTAGAGAACCTTTTGGGGTCTCCCACATCATCTGCCTTGTGTTTTCCTAAGATTCTGACCCTTCGCCTCAGTGAGTCTGACAAACCTGTCTGGACTAGGGTACATCTGCCGGTAAAAGGCTATGTTGAAGACTTCCTGGTTTTCAACTAACTTTCATTTTCCCTGGTACAGCAAAGACATCGAGGCAGAAATAATGTCGTTGCTGACAATAAGGATTTTTGCAAATTTCTATGGCCTGAACAAAGGAGAAGGTCGAGCCTGAACCTGGAAGCGGGGTGGTGCGGGGGGTTACTCACATGTCTTCCGCTCTAAGTTCCACCAAGCCTCTGGAAGGAAAAGTTTCTCTGAAGAATTCCCTTAAAATGAAGTTTCAAAGAAACTAGAATCCTTTATGTGCTCTGAGGTCCATTTGTGTAGCAAGAGAGAACCCAAAACGTGCTGTCCCAATTGGTCTGGAGAACGGTGACTCTTAACTTCCTGCTTTTGTCATTGCTCCTAGGTTTTTTTCCCTCCCTGTCCCTGACTAAAATAATCTTGACTAACAGCACCTCCTAAAGGCCAATGTACATTGGTTACTCATCACAGAGCTCGGGAATTCCCCAAGTGGGAAAAGGCAAATGGCTCTGGGATCCAGGAGGTACTCCAGCCATTCCTTTAGATCACAATTCCCCCAAAAGGAAACAAGTCCATTTCCCTACCCATCTCCTTCCCAAACTCACTTCTCCTTTAAAATAAAACCAGAAAGCTCATGAAACAGTAGTTATCTTAATCTTTCCTTGAGTATGTCCATGTGCAAATAAATAAAAATTTTAAGTAAGCCCATGTGCACATAAATAAAATATTTTAAAAGACCAAAAAATAAGTGAAAACGGGAGACTATAAACCTATTTGGAGTTTCTTGCAAGTGAATTAATTAATAGTAGACGACACTGATAGTATCTGCATTCTCAACGTTTTCGATCCAGCAGGAAAAAGAGATTTTGAAGAAGTATTTCTCATAATAAAATAATAGGAAATATTTGCATTGTACCTACCATGTGCCACTCATAGAGTATTGACAAATATTTACTTAATTAATCATCCCAACAACACTCTAAAATTAAAACTATTACTATGGCCCCTGCTTTAAAAATGTGAAGATTAAGGCACAGAAAGGTAAAAAGTAATTTGCCCAAGGTCACGCAGTGAGCCAGAAAGCAATATTTAAATGGGCAAGTTTGACTCCAAGTCCCTACACTGAAATTAACTCAAATGTGCAGAACTATTGAAAGAGGTACAGAAGCTTAGGAAGATGTTTATCTCTGGAAAAAAGCAAGATGTAGGATGCTTTTTCCAGCAAATGTGCTAAAGTGCCATTCCATACTCTAGACCTCACCCAGAGAGTTTCAGTATTTGACAAAGACAAGTACTGTAGTGAGAATTGTATGACAACATCAATCTACATAATGCCACTGAATTGTACATTTAAAATTATTTAAATGAGAAATTTTATGTTATGTGTATTTTACCACTTGGTGGGGGGTACTGGGGAGTGAACTCAGGGGTATATCCCCAGCCCTTTTTATTATTTTTAAATTTTGAGACAGTGTCTCCCTATGTTGCTGAGGCTGACCTCATACTTGAGATTCTCCTGCCTTAGCCTCCTGAGTTGCTGGGATTAGGGGCATTTTCCACCACACCTGGCTTACCCTAATCTTTTTTTAAAAAGATAAAGACAGATAAACCCTAAATCTTAGTCCTCTGATTTGATTAGAAATATTTTGTTCCTTAGGCCATTTGGGGAGGCAATTTTATAAAACTATCATTTCTTTCTCACATTAACTCTTTCAGCTTTTATTCAATAATGTTAACTATTTAGCAAGCATTTCCTAAATCTAAAGCATGGAATTCCATTGGAAAGCAAAAGGGAATAAGACACAGTGCTGGCCTTCCTTAATAACTATGACACTACCACTTTTTTATCCCATCTCTAATAAACTTTTATTAGCTACTTTCTGCTTTTGTTAGCTTATTATCTACATTCAATAGATGAGGAGACAGAGGTTCAGAAAGGCAGACTCTCTTGCCACCATCCCCAAACTGGGAAGAGCTGGTAATTCAGGCCCAAACCCAGGTCTCTCTGATTCCAAATCCTGAGTTCTTGATCTTCAGGCTACTGCTGGCTGTCACTCCCTATGTCACCACACAGGATCTGTAAGAAGTGGGCAGGGTGTGGTGGTGCTAAAAATGGGGCTTCTCCTCAGTGTCACACAGACTCAAAGAAGTCAGGGACAAGTCTAGACAAGGATGCCCAGGAGAGAGAGGTATTTGATTTAGGCCTGGAAGGAAGGTAAAACTTAAGCTTTTCTCTTAGTAATCCTGGTAGTCAAGGGAAAGACTTAAGCCGAGTTACCAAGGGGAGATAGCAGGCCCCGTGGGTATTTGTACTCAGTATTTCAAACTTCTCCCCTTTAGAACAAAACCCCCTAGGGCACACTGATGCTGAGCTGACAGTAACATGAACAATTCTCAGCCTCTGCCTGAAGGACAGTCAAAACCTTTATATCCTTTAATGGTGATGGGTGTCAGCTACTGCTCTGGTGACTAAGGGGAAACACCTGTTTCTCTTTAGTTCCGCTTTGGGAAGCAGGAATAGTAGACCTGATTGGTTTTCCTTTACCTCCAAGCTCTGGTCCAAGTTCCCCAACCTCAGAGAGACTTTATATATGAATGAAGGATTGACACCCAGGATAGAGGGGGTGGGTGCTCCAGCTAGAGAATAGCTCAGTGTGCTGAAAGGTCCATCCCAGTTCTTGAGAGTCCTCAAAAGGGCCTGGGGTAGCAGGAGCTTTTGATTTGACACCTTCCAACTTCCAAGACTCCCTCCTCCTCCATATCACGCCATACCTTTACGCACTGACTCAGAGACCTTCCCAGAACCAGCCTTAGATGGCATATGGGAGTTAAGTGAAACTAAGTTCCGGAGGAAGAGACTTTTTCTGTTAGGTTACCTTTTTCTGTTAAGTTACCTTCCTTCCAGGCCTAAATCAAATACATTTCTCTCCTAGGCATCAGGAGCAAGAGATGAGGCTGGGTAACTTCTTGGACAGCACAGCACAAACAGCAGCTGCAGATTTTTGCTGAGAAACTTACATAAAGACTGTTTTTAAAATCAGGACTTATGCAATAGAAATTCAGGACATAGGTGACCTGAAGTCCACGGCCTCTCCATAGAAGGAAAAATGTCTGATCAATATTTTGATTGGACTAAAGCCTGCATGAATACCTCATAGACACTGAGTGCCTTAACTAGGTTTGGGCAGGGGACAGACTTCCTTAAACCCATCCATCCTTGTGAAGCCAGAATTAACAGGCAGTCAGTATAGACAGGTAAATCACATCAGGTCAGATTGAGTCAGGCCAATTTTAAGTAACTCCAGAGAAGTCTGGGATTGACATATTAATTATTTTGTGGTACTGGGGATTAAACAAAGGGCTTTGTGCATGTGAGGCAAGCGCTCTCCCAACTGAGCTATATCCCCAACCCTGAAACCTTACTTCTTTCAGAGCCCTTCCTTCACCCTTAACAAGAACCTGCCCCTGCCCCTACAGGGAGCTATAAAGTTGTTAATTACTGTGTCTTGGGCTGCACCATCCTGCCCTTCCCTCTTCAGCCCACCTGTTTCCCACCTTTTGGTCATCCTGGGCCTAATCACTTATGCAAGAAGGAGAAAGATAAGGGGAAGAGGGCAGAAGAGCAAAGAAAGCCTAAGACATATAAAAAGGCAGAACACCTCACTTCTGGGGATACCAGGATACCAGCTATGCCCCCTTCTCCCTCCCAGGAGAAGTCTATGTTACCCCTTTTTAAATAAACCCTGCTTTATATGCTTGCCTCGGCGTGCTTCTCTAATGTTATACTTCAACATGTGAGGGAGCAGAACTCGTCCCTGATAACCGGTGCTACTACTTACCAGGCGCAGTGTTGTACAACTGTAATCCCAGCAATTTGGGAGCCTGAGCCAGGAGGAATTCAAGTTCAAGGCTAGTGTCGGCAATTTATCAAGGCCCTGAGCAACATGGTGAGGCCCTGAGCAACTTAGCAAGGCTATAAGCAACTTAGTGAAACTCTGCCTCAAAAATTTAAAAAAAAAAAAAAATTAAAACAAAGAGGGCTAGGAATGTAGCTCAGTGGTTAAGTTCTTCTGAATTAAATCCACAGTATCCAAAAACAACAACAACAACAACAAAAACCACCTGTCTATCCATATAAACCTCTAAACAATATCCATTCGTGCGCATCCCTCAACTCCCAGGGATTCCTCCCCTCTTTGGGAGCTCTGTTTTCTTTCTATTAGTCTAATAAATCCTGTTACTCTATTCTGACCTTCTGTCCATGGATTTCATTCTTCAAATTCACAAGACAAAGAACCCAACACCATGTTCTGTGTTACACCTGCAGAAATTTCCAAATGAACTGAGAGGAGGCTGTAGCTTGACAGGTTAAATGTGATCCATCTTGTGTCCACTATAGGACTAAAGGACACTAGAAGCTAGGTGATTCAAAAGTGACAAAACCTTGAAGTTTCACAAGAGACAATATTTCCTGGAAGAGTTATATTGGCAGTGGATTGGCTAAGCAACTAGGAGGAAGTGGTTACATTTGAGTACAATATTTTTCATGCTGCTTAAAAGAAAAAAAAGATAAAGCAGAAAAGTCTTCCAGATTAGTTTGTTGTTTCTAGAACAAAACACAAGGACAAACCAGCTTTAATATTTTATTTAATAATTTTTTTCAAAAGGGCAGCATATAACTTAGCCATATCTGTTAAAAGCTACAATAAGACAATAAGAAATGTCACTAATAGCAATGTATGCAAAAGAGGAGTTCCATTAAGGTGGCCATACACCTCAAATTGATTACCTTCAAAATCTCAGGAGCCCCTTCTGTGTAAATTGGCAAACTGAACCTAAATATTATATGGAAATGTAAGAACATGTAAACCAGTATGGCCAAAACCATTTTTATGGGCTGGGGATATAGCTGAGTTGGTAGAGTACTTGCTTCACATGCACAAGACCCTGGGTTCAATCCCCAGCACCACACAGACACACACACACACACACACACACACACAATTTATAAAAAAAAGAGCACGGATGACTCACACTTCTCAATTTCAACTCCTACAACAAAACTGCAAGAATCCCACAGTGTCAGGAGCTGAGGCCACAGACATCACAGCTTGTCCCTGTTTCCCCTCCCCCTTCCCTTCTCAGGTTGACTTCCTGTGCCCCCTGAACTCAAGATCCAGGCCTTGCCATGTCCCAGATACAAGAAAAGAACCCTGTGGAGGAGACTAGTGAGGAGAAGCAATGAGGATTAAGTAAGACTGGAGATGACTAGAGTTACTAACATGCTGTCACAATGGGCAAAAGGTGCAACTTATGCAGTCGAAGGGGAGAAATAAAGAATGTCCACGAGCTTCTGCCCCTTTCAATGCTTTGTTCACTCAAATAATTTCACTCTATAGGATTCCTTATCAAAGGAATGACAATCCTTAATTCGAGGCACTGCAATAGACATAATCAATTCACAGTAAACAATTCTAGATTAATTAATTCTAAGCACTCCAAATAATCCTAGATTAATTAATTCACAGCAAACAATTCTAGATACATTATTTCTAAGCACTGCAAACACACTTAATCATGATAGGCTCATGACAGACATTCCCTCTGCGTGCTAAGTTCAAGTGTCAGATCAAAAGTCTCAAGCCTTAGGCTCTAATCCGGCAGATAGATGCACACTCACTCAGACCACAGTGATCAGATCAGGAAACAAGACAGGCTTCTCCTGGGGTGAACCTGACGGGCCAGTTGAGGAGGTAGACCTAAGGAGAAGTTGCGGCTCTCACCAGGGTCAAGATGTGGCTGTAGAGTTTGAGAGTGTTGAGGAAGATACAGAGGGTCAGGCAGATGAGAAGAGTTGGGATGTCAATCCAGGTCCTCATCAGGCTCTCCAGCTGGCTGAATGTCTATTCGTTTGCTCTATTATTTATACTAAATTTGGGGGCTTTTGACCTCCCTTTCAATCCTTATCAGCTGCTACTGGATTTCTCAGGGACATCATTTACCCTGATCTGTGAAGACAGCCTACCAGCGGCTTCACTCTGAGTTTACCAGGGTCAGAGTAAGTGACTTGTTTGTGTCTGAGGGCCATATGGGAGAGGAGGGCTCCTCCGTTAGGCATGCCTGGTGAGACTGCAGGTTTCAAACTGGAGTTTTAAAAACGAAGTTGCTTAGGCTCAAGCCTAAGGCCATCCTCACACATAATAATGAAGGCAAACCTGGAAAAGACACCAACAGAGCCAAGATGAGAAATCTGTATACCCCTAGGCAATGGGGCTTTGTCCACCTGTGATTCTGTGATGAAAACACAGTGCTGGGGACACAAGAGAAAGATGAGGGAGATAGCGACGCAGGGATACAGTGCTGCAGTTTCTGCCAGCCGTGCAAGCACCGTACTCAGGGCTGAATTCTGGGTTCGAGACGGGGGAAGGAAGCGGTCCATCTCGGTTCTCCACACCGGTCAGACCACAGAGGAGGCCAGCGGCCACCATGTTGGAAAGCTGACATCACCATCCCTCTTTTCGACTGACCGCAGCTCATTCAGCCATAGAACAGGGGAACGAAATGCTGCCATTCGCATAGGACACCAACATGGCAGAGATCTGATGTCATCAGAAAGCGGCAGAGGAGAGAACTTCATCAATACCAGCGGCGACAGAAACAGTTGGTCTCCTGGTAGGGGGGGTGAGGCACAGACACCCGAGTCTCTCTCGATTTGTCCTCGAGCCAGAGGGGAGGAGCCGGGCCGCCGCCAGCGCCCGGAGCAGGCCCAGCGGCTCGCCGGCGTGGTGACCGCGTGAACCCAATTGGAGAGGGGGCGGAGCGGAGCCGCCACCCGTGCCCGCAAGGTGGGCAGACCCGCGACCCAGTGGTACACGAGCGTGGTAGGAGGGGCAGGGAAGAGCCGCCGCCCGCGCTTGCAAGGCAAGCAGACCTGTGACAGACTGGCGGGTCAGGCCCAGCGGCCTGCCAGAGTGGTACACACGTCACCCCAACTGGAGTAGGGGCAGAGCAGATCCTTCGCCCACGCCCGGATCAGGCCCTGCCGGTGTGGTGGTCACGTGACCCCAATTGGAGTGGGGGCGGAGCGGAACCGCCACCCGTGCCCGCAGGGTGAGCAGACCTGTGACCAACCTGAAGATCAGGCCCAGGAGCCTGCCGGCATGGTACACACATCACCCTAATTGGAGTAGGGGCAGAGCAGAGTCGCCGCCCGTGCCAGGAACAGGCCCAGCGACCTGCCGGCGGGGTAGTCACGACACCCCAATTGGAGTAGGGGCAGAGCAGAGCCACCACCCGTGCCCGAAAGGTGGGCAGATCTGCGACCGACCAGCGGGACAGGCCCAGTGGCCGGCCGGTACGACAGACACGTCACCCCATTTGGAGTAGGGGCAGAGTAGAGCCGCCGCCCGCGCCTGCAGGGTAGGCAAACCTGCAACCGACCGGCGGATCAGGCCCGGTGGCCTGCCACCGTGGTACACTCGTCACCCCAATTGGAGTAGGGGCAGAACAGAGCCGCCGCCAGCGCCCAGAACAGGCCCAGTGACCTGCCGGCATGGTAGTCACGACACCCCAATTGGAATAAGGAGAGAGCAGAGCCGCCGCCCGCGCCTGCAGGAAAGATACGCAAGCAGTATGAAAAGACAAGGAAAGAAAGGACCACAAGCAATGCAGGTCAATGCAACTTTAGAAGAGGTAACAGCTGCAGCAGATGGAATGTCAGATAAAGAATTCAGGATATACATGCTTCAGATGATCTGGAGTATCAAGGAAGACATTAGACAGCAAAATCAGACAATGAAAGATCACTTTGACAATGAATTACGCAAACAAATCCAGGAAGCAAAGGATCAACTATACAGGGAGATAGAGGTTATAAAAAACAAACAAACAGAAATCCTAGAAATGCAGGAAGCAATAAACCAACTTAAAAACTCAATGGAGAATACTACCAGCAGAGTAGAACACTTAGAAGATAGAACATCAGACAATGAAGACAAAGTATTTCAACTGGAAAAGAACATAGACAGCTCAGCAAGACTGTTAAGAAACCATGAGCAGAACATCCAAGAAATATGGGATAACATTAAGAGACCAAACTTAAGAGTCATTGGGATACAGGAAGGTACAGAGCTCCAAACCAAAGGAATGAGCAGTCTATTCAATGAAATAATACGAGAAAACTTCCCAGACTTGAAGAGTGAGACAGAATCCCAAATCCTAGAAGCCTACAGGACGCCGAATGTGCAAAATCATAAGAGATCCACACCTAGACACATTATAATGAAGATGCCCAACATACAGAATAAGGAGAGAATTTTAAAAGCTACAAGAGAAAGGAAGCAGATTACATTTAGGGGTAAGCCAATCAGGATAACAGCTGATCTTTCAACACAGACTCTGAAAGCTAGAAGATCCTGGAATAACATATTTCAAACACTGAAAGAAAATGGGTTCCAACCAAGAATTGTGTATCCAGCGAAATTAAGCTTCAGGATGGAGGATGAAATTAAAACCTTCCACGATAAACAAAAGTTTAAAGAATTTGCAGCTAGAAAACCATCTCTTCAAAACATTCTCGCCAAAGCATTACAGGAAGAGGAAATGGAAAATAACAATGAAAACCAACAGTGGGAGGTAGGACAGTAAAGGGGGGGGGGATAATCAAAGAGGAAAACAAACCATGTTTAGTAACAGAAATAAACAAATATGGCTGGAAGAACAACCCATATCTCAATAATAACCCTAAATGTTAATGGCTTAAACTCACCAATTAAGAGACACAGGCTAGTAGAATGGATCACAAAACAAGACCCAACAATATGCTGCCTACAGGAGACGCATTTGATAGGAAAAGACATACATAGGCTGAAGGTGAAAGGTTGGGAAAAATCATATCACTCATATGGACTTCGGAAACAAGCAGGCGTGTCCATACTCATATCAAATAAAATAGATTTCAAGCCAAAGTTAATCAAAAGAGATAAAGAGGGACACTACATACTGCTTAAGGGAACCATACACCAACAAGACATAACAATCGTAAATATTTATGCCCCAAACAATGGTGCAGCTATGTTCGTCAAACAAACTCTTCTCAAGTTCAAGAGTCTAATAGACCACCTCACCATAATCATGGGAGACTTCAACACACCTCTCTCGCCACTGGACAGATCTTCCAAACAAAAGTTGAATAAGGAAACTATAGAACTCAATAACACTATTAATAACCTAGACCTAATTGACATATATAGAGTATACCACCCAACATCAAGCAGTTACACTTTTTTCTCAGCAGCACATGGATCCTTATCAAAAATAGATCATATATTATGTCACAGGGCAACTCTTAGACAATATAAAGGAGTAGAGATAATACCATGCATCTTATCTGATCATAATGGAATGAAACTGAAAATCAACGATAAAAGAAGGAAGGAAAAAGCATACATCACTTGGAGAATGAACAATAGGTTACTGAATGATCAATGGGTTATAGAAGACATCAAGAAGGAAATTAAAAAATTCTTAGAGATAAATGAAAACACAGACACAACATATCGGAATCTATGGGACACATTGAAAGCAGTTCTAAGAGGAAAATTCATTGCTTGGAGTTCATTCCTTAAAAAAAGAAAAAAACAACAAATAAATGATCTCATACTTCATCTCAAAATCCTTGAAAAAGAAGAGCAAAACAACAGCAAAAGAAGTAGAAGGCAAGAAATAATTAAAATCAGAGCTGAAATTAATGAAATCGAAACAAAAGAAACAATTGAAAAAATTGACAAAACTAAAAGTTGGTTCTTTGAAAAAATAAACAAAATCGACAGACCCTTAGCGATGCTAGCGAAGAGAAGAAGAGAGAGAACTCAAATTACTAGCATACGGGATGAAAAAGGCAATATCACAACAGACACTTCAGAAATACAGAAGATAATCAAAAACTATTTTGAATCCTTATACTCCAATAAATTAGAAGATAGTGAAGGCATAGATAAATTTCTTAAGTCATATGATCTGCCCAGATTGAGTCAGGAGGATATAGAAAACCTAAACAGACCAATATCAATTGAGGAAATAGAAGAAACCATAAAAAGACTACCAACTAAGAAAAGCCCAGGTCCGGATGAGTATACAGCAGAATTTTACAAAACCTTTAAAGAAGAACTAATACCAATACTTTTCAAGCTACTTCAGGAAATAGAAAAGGAGGGAGAACTTCCAAATTCATTCTATGAGGCCAACATCACCCTGATACCTAAACCAGACAAAGACACTTCAAAGAAAGAAAACTACAGACCAATATCTCTAATGAACCTAGATGCCAAAATTCCTCAATAAAATTCTGGTGAATCGGATACAAAAACATATCAAAAAAATTGTACACCATGATCAAGTAGGATTCATCCCTGGGATGCAAGGCTGGTTCAATATACGGAAATCAATAAATGTTATTCACCACATCAATAGACTTAAAAATAAGAACCATATGATCATCTCGATAGATGCGGAAAAAGCATTCGACAAAGTACAGCATCCCTTTATGTTCAAAACTCTAGAAAAACTAGGGATAACAGGAACATACCTCAATATTGTAAAAGCAATCTATGCTAAGCCTCAGGCTAGCATCATTCTGAATGGAGAAAAACTGAAGGCATTCCCTCTAAAATCTGGAACAAGACAGGGATGCCCTCTCTCTCCACTTCTCTTCAACATAGTTCTTGAAACACTGGCCAGAGCAATTAGACAGATGAAAGAAATTAAAGGCATAAAAATAGGAAAAGAAGAACTTAAATTATCACTATTTGCAGATGATATGATTCTATACCTAGCAGACCCAAAAGGGTCTACAAAGAAACTATTAGAGCTAATAAATGAATTCAGCAAAGTGGCAGGATATAAAATCAACACGCATAAATCAAAGGCATTCCTGTATATCAGCGACAAATCCTCTGAAATAGAAATGAGGACAACCACTCCATTCACAATATCTTCAAAAAAAATAAAATACTTGGGAATCAACCTAACAAAAGAGGTGAAAGACTTATACAATGAAAACTACAGAACCCTAAAGAGAGAAATAGAAGATCTTAGAAGATGGAAAAATATACCCTGTTCATGGATAGGCAGAACTAACATCATCAAAATGGCGATATTACCAAAAGTTCTCTATAGGTTTAATGCAATGCCAATCAAAATCCCAACGGCATTTCTTGTAGAAATAGAGAAAGCAATCATGAAATTCATATGGAAAAATAAAAGACCCAGAATAGCAAAAACAATGCTAAGCAGGAAGTGTGAATCAGGCGGTATAGGGATACCAGACTTCAAACTATACTACAGAGCAATAGTAACAAAAACAGCATGGTACTGGTACCAAAACAGGCAGGTGGACCAATGGTACAGAATAGAGGACACAGAAACCAATCCACAAAACTACAACTATCTTATATTTGATAAAGGGGCTAAAAGCATGCAATGGAGGAAGGATAGCATCTTCAACAAATGGTGCTGGGAAAACTGGAAATCCATATGCAACAAAATGAAACTGAATCCCTTTCTCTCGCCATGCACAAAAGTGAATTCAAAATGGATCAAGGAGCTTGATATCAAATCAGAGACACCCCGTCTGATAGAAGAAAAAGTTGGCTACGATCTACATTCGGTGGGGTCGGGCTCCAAATTCCTCAATAGGACACCCATAGCACAAAAGTTAATAACTAGAATCAACAAATGGGACTTACTCAAACTAAAAAGTTTTTTCTCAGCAAAAGAAACAATAAGAGAGGTAAATAGGGAGCCTACACCCTGGGAACAAATCTTTACTCCTCACACTTCAGATAGAGCCCTAATATCCAGAGTATACAAAGAACTCAAAAAATTAGACAATAAGAGAACAAACAACCCAATCAACAAATGGGCCAAGGACCTGAACAGACACTTCTCAGAGGAGGACATACAGTCAATCAACAAGTACATGAAAAAATGCTCACCATCTCTAGCTGTCAGAGAAATGCAAATCAAAACCACCCTAAGATACCATCTCACTCCAGTAAGATGGGCAGCCATTATGAAGTCAAACAACAACAAGTGCTGGCGAGGATGTGGGGAAAAGGGTACACTTGTACATTGCTGGTGGGACTGCAGATTGGTGCAGCCAATTTGGAAAGCAGTATGGAGATTTCTTGGAAAGCTGGGAATGGAGCCACCATTTGACCCAGCTATTCCCCTTCTTGGTCTATTCCCTAAAGACCTAAAAAGAGCATGCTACAGGGACACTGCTACATCGATGTTCATAGCAGCACAATTCACAATAGCAAGACTGTGGAACCAACCTAGATGCCCTTCAATAGACGAATGGATAAAAAAAATGTGGCATTTATACACAATGGAGTATTACTCTGCATTAAAAAATGACAAAATCATAGAATTTGCAGGGAAATGGATGGCATTAGAGCAGATTATGCTAAGTGAAGCTAGCCAATCCCTAAAAAACAAATGCCAAATGTCTTCTTTGATATAAGGAGAGTAACTAAGATCAGAGTAGGGATGAAGAGCAGGAGAAGAAGATTAACATTTAACAGGGATGAGAGGTGGGAGGGAAAGGGAGAGAGAAGGGAAATTGCATGGAAATGGAAGGAGACCCTCAGGGTTATACAGTGGAGGGGGTAGAGAGAGAGGAGGGGAGGGGAGGGGAGAGATGGGGAAGGGGGATGGTGGAGGATGGGAAAGGCAGCGGAGCACAACAGACACTAGTATGGCAATATGTAAATCAATGGATGTGTAACTGATGTGATTCTGCAATCTGTGTATGGGGTGAAGGTGGGAGTTCATAACCCACTTGAATCAAAGTGAGGAATATGTCAAGAAATTTGTAATGTTTTGAACAACCCACAATAAAAAATTAAATAAAAAATAAAATAAAATAAAATGAAAAAGTCCATGAACAAAGCTAACTCTTCCTCTTTGTTTGAAGAACCAGACTGACAATCTGGTCAGTGTTACTCCTTTCTCTTAGGCGAAGCCCAAATAAAAGCCATGCTTGTATGCTCTCTAAAAAAAAAAAAAAAAGAAAGAAAGAAAGATGAGGAGAAAAAGCTAAAGGCCAAATATCCAGGACAAAAGCCCAAGGCTCCAACTTCCTCATAGAGATACCTAAAAGGGCCAAAGTACCTTGAATCAGGAGATTAAACATGACCAAAGCCAAGAAGAAGAAGCAGGTACCAAGTGCAGACCAGATAAGAATCTGGTGATGGGTGACCACATCCTCACCTCACAGGATTCACCCCAAAGTCCTTGCTGGTCACCAGCAATCCTCCTGGGTAACTTGGGCCCCTCCCCCATCCTCACCCACTGGGCACCTCCTCAGATCTCAGCTTCCAGCCAGGAAAGACTGAGATTCTGCTAGGGGCTGCTGAGAAGGCAAGGGGAGTGGAAGAGGGGCGCTGAGATCATTTCTTTGGTTGGGACTTCCACACCTTCACTGTAGCCCAGGTAGAGACCCAGAAAGAGGAAAAGACGGGATTGGATCATGCTGAAAACTTTTTATTGTGAGAAACTGGGAAGATCTGATTCCTCCTTTTTGAAAGAGAATGTCCCCAAATTGGTTAAGCTGAATTAACATGGCAGGTTTAACATCCCAAGACTAACCTGACATAGTTGAGAAAGGTAGATTGAATGAGATGTGTTTTCTGTGCTTCTAAGTGTTTTATCACTTAAGCTGCTACTGCTTCATGTTTCCGTCATGAGAGGTGTTTTAGTCAGTTTTCTTGCCACCATAATCAAAAGACCTAACAAGAACAATTTTAGAAGAAGACAAGTTTATTTTGGCTCACACAGTTTTAGAGGCCTTAGTCCACAGATGGCCAACTGCATTCCTTTATCTCTTCCTGAGATGAGGCAGAACATCATGGCAGAAGGGTGTGGAGGAGGAAAGTAACTCAGGACATGGCAATCAGCAAGCAGAGAGAGGAGCTCCTCTCACCAGGAACAAAATATATACCCCAAAGACACATCTTCAGTGACCTACCCCCACCAGCCATACCCCTACCTGCCTACATTTACCTCCCAGTTAATCTATCAAGTGAATCAATGCACTGGTTAACTCAAGCTCTCTTAACCCAATCATTTCACTCTAAACTTTCTTGCATTGTCTCACACATGAGATTTTGGGAGATAAATCATGTTAACTATTAAAGGAAGTTTAGAGAACCCTCAAAAAGGAAAACCAATTTGCTCACTTAAAACTACGGTGTCCATTTACCCTCCTTTATTTAGTATCTCTTATAGTTTGCCCTGGTTTGCAAATAATGTAAAAATTAATGAACATTATTCATGGAAAATGTGCACCTACTTTCTGTCTTTCAGCACACCATTTCTGAAAGGTTTGTGGGATATGGATCTAAGAGCACTGGTTTAGGAGTCAAAGATATTTGGGTTATAGTTCCACTCAGTCTTGGCCATGCCATTGGATAACTTGTCCAAGTCATTTAACCTCTCTGCTTCTCTGTTTCCTCATCTGTAAAATAGAGTTAAATATGTGTAAAATTAATTCTGATTCTAAATTTCTCTATCTTCCAGCAGAAAAACTAAAAGTGAGAAAAGCCCATGGATGAGTCTTTGCATTGTACACTGAAAATATACTACAGAGGGGAACTATTGCAGACTACATAAAGAGAAAGGAAATTTGAGAATGGAGGGCTTTAAATTCAGGCAACAGAACTTCGTAGATATCATGGTCTTGAGGTCCAGGAAAATAAAAAACTTCTAAGAAGTTAACCATGGAAATTCCGCCTACTTTCTCTGCCTACATCTGGGCCTTAGCTGCTGAAATGCTGCCCTGGCAGCAGAGCTGATGGATCTGAGGGAACATTCTCAGTCCTGCCTATGTGGAAACCCATGTTTTAGACATAATTAGATGTCAGGTGCATTATTAGGGAGAGTGAAAGAGATAAACTGAGCTAGCCCCCAGGGCTTAAAGTTGGGAAGCACTGAAGCAGCAGCTACTTAGGAGATGATTCACCTTTGGAGAAATCAGGGAAAGTGGTGGAGTCAGGAAAACTGAAATTTTCCCTGTTAGAGCATGGTATCTCACCTCTTATGCAATAAGGAGAGGTCACAATCCTGATTCGCCAACAGGCTGAAACATAGTGTTGACCAGTAATATTCAATCTGGTTATTACCATCTTGGCCTGAATCTTATAAAATGTAACCTACTAGCTAAGACAAAGAGGGCCACGCTGAGAATGACTGTTCAAGAGAGCAAGATTCTGTCATCCTCTCGTGCCCTTTCACTTTCAACATTCTCATGTGTCAAACATTTAGCCCATTGAGAATGACTGGTGAATTTGCTAATGTGGTGGCAGGGCAGGGGTGGAGGGATGGTGGGAGGAATGGGTGTGTCTATACTTCTCTACTGACTGACTGTTCAGTTTTCTGGCTGTAATTCAGATTGGATAGGAAAAGGTTGGTGAGGAAGGAATGGAGAGAGCAGGATCCCTGGATTTCTTGGCCCTCAAAAGCCTTGAATGTCACTTGTAATTATATATATAATTTTTCTATTTCTTTACTCCATTTCCACAAGCTCTCATCCTTAATCTAAAGTCCATATGGGAAAGGGAAAATTCTAAACATCATAGATATGTTATTAAATATAAATATATATGTACATAATTTTGTACATTTGAAAGAATTAGAATCATCAAGACAGTGTGGTCCTAGCAAAGGATGGCAGGTAGAGCAATGGAATAGAATTGAGAAATAAACTCAAAAATAAACTTTTACATTTATAGTCAGGCAATTTTTGATGAAGATGACAAGATAATACAATGATATTCTTTTCAATAAGTGGAGTTGAGGGATCCAAGATGGCAGGCTAAAGGGAGGCTGCATCCTGTGTCTCCAGGACCTGGAATTCAAGCAGTGGGAATACTGTTTCTCTATAAGTGATTAGAGGACCCCTGGCAGCTGCTCCTGTGCAGGAATCACAGCCTCTGCACTGCATAGGACTCCTGTGCAGGACCTCCTTCTTGCTGGTCCTCCAGTACCCGAGTAGGACCACGGGCATTAGCACCGGAGCAGGACTCTTGGCTGGCTACCTGTGCAGGAATCCCAGCCACTGCTCCCACGCAGGACACTCAGACACTGCCCACATGCAGGAACTCTGGCAGCCTTTCCTGTGTGGACCCTCATCTACCAACATGGGGCTCCTCAGGTCGCCTCCATCTTGGAGCACTGCAACCACTGCCACAGTCCCCTACATGTGGTGGCCTGCATCTGGGGATGCTGCACTGAGTCTGGAGAGAGCCACCAGCCACAATACTGCATACCTCAGAGCCACATCTCAGAACATGCCACTCAACGCCGCCACCCGCCTCCACTCAACCCAGAACCCCATCGCTGAAAGCAGCCACCTTCATCTTGGGACACCTTCATCACCATCTTTAGTTGAGGCAACTCCCAGCTTGGAACACCAGTTGGGGCTTAGGAGCAATATCAAGGTACCAAAAGTCCCCAACTGTCCCCATTCCCGGGCAGCCACGAACCTGACAGGCACAGTGCCTGCAGCTAAGCGAGGTCTGTAGCTCACAAAACTGGGTCCTGAACTGCCTAGTGTAAAACAGGTCTCCATGACAGGTGCATAGCTCCTAGGGTGCAGCCCACAAGACCTCCAGAGAGAAAGGTTCTTGATTGGGAAGTAGAAAGGGAGGGGATGAGTAAGATACAGTTTAGAGACTAAATTAGAGACCAGGAGTTGTGAGGTCTATAGGTGATATTAGGAGATAAGACCAAGTGCCCACATCACACAAGCAGGCCCCAAAGTAGATCCTTGGACCAACCCTTCCACCCTAATAAACTTCACCATCCTGAGGGTGGGGATACCAGTGAACAACAGACAACCTGACCTATTGGATGAGAAGGGAAGCTTGGAAAGATACTGATCTCCAATAAAAATTATCCTTGTATCTTCCTTCAAGATTTCTCTCTCTCTCTCTCTCTCTCTCTCTCTCTCTCTCTCTCTCTCTCTCTCTCTCTCTCTCTTTCGCTCTCCTTCATTTGTGAAACCAAGTACTTTTAATGAATTAGGCTGTTGAGGACTGGGATGTCTGAATAGTATATTATAGTGGTGTTGTATATTCTTTTATCTCCCGTTTTTACATTTTTACTTTCCTTAATATTTATGTTTGGTTTTTTTTTGTACTCTACTGTCTTTCCACTTACTGTCTCCCCCAAATTACTTTCTCTCTCTTCTCCTGCTACTAAGCAACTTTAGTTTCCTCTTTCACACTTTCTAAGTTCTGATAACTCTATATCCTTACCTCCTACTCCCTTCAATATCTCATCCTACACCTCACCCCCAGTTCTTTGTCCATCATCAGAAACTGTACACTCTTTTGCAAACCTACTGTTTATATTGTAGATAATAATTGAGCAAATATTGTAGATAATAATTTCTGAATATTCTGACAAAACCATAAATGTCTTAATAGCAGATATTTGGTTTAAGATTGTATATTGTTTGTACTGGAATCTGTTCACATTGATCTCCTCCTTAAAGGAGAGGTATTGGAAACCTGCAGAGACACTATAAGCCTATAGGGTAAAAACCTTATAGCACAGATCTGCAGTTCTAGAAGGGAAGACACATGAACAACATGAAAAAACAAGGGAAGAAAGTTCCCCCAAACAAACCAAGATATTACATTATTAGAATCCATGGCCAGCACAACAGAAGTTTAATGACAAAGAAGGAGTTCAGGATGTACATAATTAAAATGTTCTGTGAATTAAAGGATGATATAAGAGAGAAAATACAGGCAGCAAAAATAATTTTGATAAAGAACTACATAAGCAAATACAGGAAACAAAAGGTTACTTCAATAAGGAGATAGAGGTTCTGAAAAAAAAAAGAAATCCTTGAAATGAAAAAATAAACCAAATTAAAAGTATCAACAACAGATTAGATCACTTGGAAGACAGGACCTCAGACAATGAAGAAAAAATATAATCTTGAAAAGAATGTTCACCACACAGTGAAGATGGTGAGAAAACATGAGCAGAACATTCAAGTATTATGGGATAACATAAAAAGACCAAATATAAGAATTACTGGAATAGAAGAAGGCATAGAATTCCAAACCAAAGTAATGAATAATCTATTCAATAAAATAATATCAGAAATTTTTCCAAACATGAAGAATGAATTGGAAAATCAAATATAAGAGTCTTACAGGACACCAAATTTACAAAATCACAACAGAGCTACACCAACACACATTATAATGAAAATGCCTAGCATACAGAATAAGGAGAGAATTTAAAAGCCACAAGAGAAAGGAATCGGATTACATATAGGAGGAAACCAATTAGGATCTCTACAGATTTTTCAACCCAGACCCTAAAAGCTAGAAGATCCTGGAACAACATATACCAAGCTCTGAAAGAAAATGGATGCCAACCAAGAATCTTATATCCAGCAAAACTAAGCTTTAGTTTGATGATGAAATAAAAACCTTCCATGGTAAACAAAAGTTAAAAAGAATTTACAACTAGAAAGCCTACACTACAAAACATCCTCAGCAAAATATTCCATGAGGAGGAAATGAAAAACAACAATGAAAGTCAGCAAAGGGAGATATTACACTAAAGGAAATACTAATCAAAGGAGAAAACAAGTCAAGTTAAATACCAAAAATAAACAAATATGATAAATCATATCTCAATAATAACCCTGAATGTTAATGGCCTAAACTCACCAATCAAAAGACATAGACTGGCAGATTGGATTGGAAAAAAAAGAGCCAAAAATATGTTGCCTTCAAAAGACTCATCTCATAGGAAAAGACATCCACAGACTGAAGGTGAAAGGTTGGGAAAAAATATACCACTCACATGTACTGCAGAAACAAGCAGGGATTTCAACCTCTTATCAAATAAAGTAGACTTTAAGCCAAAGTTAATCAAAAGGGATAAAGAAGGACATTTCATACTGCTTAAGAGAACCACACATCAACAAGATATAACAATTATAAATATATATCCCCAAACAATGGAGCATTACATTCATCAAACAAACTCTTCTCAAGTTCAAGAGTCAAATAGCACAACACAATAATTCTGGGTGACTTTAACACACCTCTTTCACCACTGGATAGATTTTCCAAACAAAGCTAAAGAAAGAAATGATAGAACTCAATACTACAATTAATAACTTAGACTTAACAGACATATATAGAATATTTCATCTCTCAATGAGTGAATAAACTTTCTTCTCAGCAGCACATGGATTCTTTTCCAAAACAGACCATATATTATGCCACAAAGCAACTCTTAGCAAATACAAACAGTAGAGATACTACCCTGCATTCTATCAGATCATAATGGAATGAAATTAGAAATCAATGATAAAATAAAAAATAGAAGCTACTCCAACACCTGGAGACTAAATAATATGCTACTGAATGAACACTGGGTTGCAAAAGACAGCAAAGAGGAGATTTAAAAATTCTTAGAGGTTTGTGCTTTGTATGTGTAATATGAAATGAATTGCATTTTGCCATCATGTAAAACAAATTAGAATAAATAGATAATTTCATTTAAAAAATTCTTAGAGGTAAATGAGAATATTGATACAATATATTGAAATCTCTAGGACACTATGAAAGCAGTACCAAGAGGAAAGTTCATTGCATGGAGTTCATCCCTTAAAAGAAGAAAAAGTCAACAAATAAATGACCTAACATTATATCTCAAAGCCCTAGAAAAAGAACAAATCAACACCAAAAGCAGTAGAAGACAGGGAATAATTAAAATCAGAGCTGAAATCACTGAAATTGAAACAAAAGAAACAATTGAAAAAATTGACAAAACAAAAAGTTGGTCTTTGAAAAAAATAAATAAAATTGATAAACCCTTAGCCATGCTAATGAAGAGTAGGTGAGAGAAAATTCAAATTACTAACACCCATGGTGAAAAAAAGAAATATCATGATGGACACTACAGAAATACAGAAGATAATTAGAAATTATTTTGAAAATTTGTACTCCAATAAAATAGAAAATATCAAAGGCATTGACAAATTTTAGAGTCATATGATTTTCCCAAACTGAATCAGGATGATATACACAAGTTAAACAGATCAATTTCAAGCAATGAAATAGAAGATGCAATCCAAGAATTTAGAAGACTACAAACCAAGAAAAGCACAGGACTGGATGGAAATACAGGTGAGTTCTACAAGACCTTCAAAGAAGAACTAATACCAATACTCCTCAAATTATTTCATGAAATAGAAAAAGAGGGAACACTTCCAAATTCATTCTATGAGGCAAATATCACTCTGATTCCAAAACCAGGAAAAGACACATCAAAGAAAGAAAACTTCAGACCAATATCTGTAATGAACATAGATGCAAAAATTCTCAATAAAAATTCTGGCAAATTGAATACAAAAACATATCAAAAAGATAGTACACCATAATCAAGTGGGGTTCATCCCAGGGATGCAAGGTTGGTTCAAAATACAAAAATCAATAAATGTAATTTATTACATCAATAGACTTAAAGATAAGAATCATATGATCATCTCAATAGATGCAGAAAAAGCATTCAACAAAATATAGCAACCCTTCATGTTCAAAACACTAGAAAAACTAGGGATAATAGGAACATATCTCAACATTATAAAAGCTATCTATGCTAAGTCCCAGGCCAACATCATTCTAATTGGAGAAAAATTGAAAGCATTCCCTCTAAAATCTGGAACAAGACAGGGATACCCTCTTTCACCAATTCTATTTAGCATAGTTCTTGAAATTCTAGCCAGAGCAATAAGACCGACAAAAGAAATTAAAGGGATACACATAGGAAAAGAAAAACTCAAATTATCACTATTTGCTGATGATATGATTCTACACTTAGAAGATTCAAAAACTTCCATGAAAACTTCTAGAACTAATACATGAATTCAGCAAAGTAGCAGGATATAAAATCAACACCCATAAATCAAAGGCATTTCTGTACATCAGTGAGAAATCCTCTGAAAGAGAAACCAGGAAAACTACCCCATTTACAATAGCCTCAAAAAAAATTACTTAGGAATCAACAAAAGAGGCAAAGACCACTACAATGAAAATTACAGAATGCTAAAGAAAGAAATTGTAGAAGACCTTAGAAGATGGAGATATCTCTCTTGTTCTTGGATAGGCAGAATTAATGCTGTCAAAATGACCATACTACCAAAAACACTATACATTATTTAATGCAATTCCAATCAAAATACCAATGACATTCCTTATAGAAATAGCAAAAGCAGTCATTAAATTAATCTGGAAAAACAAGAGACCCAGAATAGCCAAAGCAATCCTTAGCAAGAACAGCAAAGCAGGTGGCATCACTATACCAGACCTTAAGCTGTACTGCAAAGCAATAGTAACAAAACAGCATAATACTGGCACCAAAATAGACATGTAGATCAATGGTACAGTATAGAGGACACAGAGACGACCCACATAAATACAGTTATCTCATATTAAACAAAGGTGCCAAAAACATATATTAGAGAAAGGATAGACTCTTCAACAAATGGTGCTAGGAAAACTGGAAATCCATATGCAACAAAATGAAATTAAGCCCTTATATCTCACCATGCACAAAACTCAACTCAAAGTGGATCAAGGACCTAGGAATTAAACCAGAGACCCTGCACCTAATAGAAGAAAAAATAGGCCCAAATCTTCATCATATCAGATTAGGCCCCGAATTTCGTAATAAGACTCCTATAGCACAAGAAATAAAATTGACAATCAATAAATGGGAAAGATTCAAACTAAAAAGCTCCTTCTCAGCAAAAGAAACAATCAGTGATGTGCATAGATAGCCTACAGAATGGGAACAAATTTTTACCACATGCACATCAGATAGAGCACTAATCTCTAGGATATATAAAGAACTCAAAATACTTAACACCAAAAAACCAAATAACCCAATCAATAAATGAGCCAAGGAAATGAACAGACACTTCTCAGAAGATGATATACAATCACTTAACAAATATATGAAATAATGTTCAATATCTCTAGCAATTAGAGAAATGCAAATCAAAACTAAGATTTCATCTCACTCCAGTCAGAATGGCAGCTATTAAGAATACAAACAACAATAAGTGTTGGTGAAGATGTGGGGAGAAAGGCACACTCATACATTACTGGTGAGACTGCAAATTGGTGCAACCAATCTGGAAAGTATTATGCAGATTCCTTGGAAAACTTGGAATGGAACCACCATTTGACCCAGCTATCCCACTTCTTGATTTATACCCAAAGAACTAAAAAACAGCAGACTACAGGGACACAGGCACATCAGTGTTTATAGCAGCACAATATACAATATACAATAGCTAAATTGTGGAACCAACCTAGATGTCCTTTCAGTAGATGAATAGGTAAAGAAATTGTGGTATATATACACAATGGAATATTGCAGGCAAATGGATGGAGTTGGAAAATATTATGCTAATTAAAGTAAGCCAATCACAAAAAAACAAATGCCAAATGTTTTCTCTGATATGCTGATTCATAACGGGGATGGAGAGTGGGGGGAGCATAGGAGGAATGGAGGAACTTTAGATAGGGCAACAGTGAGGTAGAGGAAGGGAGGGGGCTGGGGGAATAGAAAAGATGGTGAAATGAGATGGACATCATTACCTTAAGTACATGTATGAAGACATGAATGGTGTGACTCTACTTTGTGTACAACCAGAGACATGAAAAATTGTGCTTTATACTTGTACTATGAATTGAAATGCATTCTGCTGTCATATATAAAAAATTAGAACAAATAAATTAATAAAATAAGTGGAGTTGAGACAAATGAGTATTTATATGCAAAAGAATGAGGTTGAACCCTTACCTCACACCACATATTTTTAAGTCACAATGTATCAAAGAACTGAAATCATAAAACTCACAGAAGAAAACACTGTTGTTAACACCTCATTACCTTGGATAGGGTAATGGCTTCTTAGATATGACACCAAGAACATAAGCATAAGCAGTTGAACTTGACCACAATTTTAAACTTCTGTAAAGGACATCACTAAGAAAGTGAGATGATAATCCAAAGAATGGGAGAAAATATTTGCAAACCTTTATTCTGATAAGAGACTAATATCCAGAATTAAAAGAAAAGAATACTTAACAACTCAACAATCACCACAACAAAATCTACACCCAAACCCACAAAAAAACAAACCCAATTTAAAAAATGAGAAAGAATTTGAACAGCTATTTTTCCAAAAAAGATAAGCAAATGGCCAATATGCACCCGAAAAGATGCCTGTTTGACATGAATAGTTATCAAGGAAATGCAAACCAGAACCAGTGAGACACCACATCATGTCCAATAGGGTAAGCTTATAATTTAAGGAGGAGGGGGACAATAGCAAGTGTTGGCAAGGGTATGAGAAATTTGAACCCTAGTACTTTGCTTGTGGGACTGTAAAATGGTACCCCGACTTGGGAAAACAGTTTGGCAGATTCTCAAAAACTGAACATAAAGTTTCTGTAATTCTTAGCAATTCTACTTCTAAGTAGATGCCCAAGAGAAATGAAAATATATGTCCACACAAACCTTGTACATGAACATGCACAGCAGCAATATTTACAACAGCCAACCAGTGAAGCAATGCAAACTTTCATTGATTGATGAATAAATAAGTGTGGCATATCCATGCAACAGAATATTTCAGCCTTCATTGGAATGAAGTGCTAACACTCCACAGCATAGCAGAACACTATGAAAGAAGTGAAAGAAGTCAGGCACAAAGGACTATGATTTGTATGATCTGTTTACGTAAAATACCCAGAACAGGCAATCCAAAGAGACAGAAAATGAATTACTTGTTATCAGAGGGTGGGGAAAGAAGAGAAATAGAGTGATGGATAATTGGTAGAGGGTTTTCTCTTTAGGTGGAAGGAAATTCTCTGAAATTAATGATTACTTAATTCTCTGACTATAATAAAAACCACTGAACTGTGTACTTGAAAAAGGTGAATGTTTTGGAATGTGAACTATATCTCAATAAAAAGACGAAAGGGAGACATAGGGTATGTCACAATTCCATGTCACAAACTACTTATACTTTATAATATAAAACTACATGAATAATAATCTAAATTATGTCCAGTACATTACTTGCTAAAGCAAGATCATGAATGTATCATAATATTTTATGAAACTTAACATTCCAGAGTCAATCATTTCTTCTTTATCAATCATGAATTCATTGAATGTGCATTTATGGAGGGCTTACTGTATGCCAGGCTCTGCATCCGCTTCAGTGCTTGAAAAAGCTATAAAGATAAAACTGAATTCAACTATATCATGCTCATCAGTAAATCATGCAGAAGGGGCTGTGAGTAGCTCAGCAGTAAGTGCTAGTCTAGCATGTCCAAGACTCTGGGTTCAATCCCCATATCACAAAATATAAATAAATTACAGCCTGAGATACAAAATAGAAAGAAGACATGGAAGAGATTCATATGAAATTTTATTCTATTCAGGGGAGGAAGCAAAAATTCCAAATGAAGAGATATTGGACCGTGGACAATGGAAGAAGGCAGTATTAGAAACAGACCTTGCACTACAGTTATGTTTTGGAGATGTTGGGTAAGGTGGCAGGTTAGAGTCCAGAAAGATACAATGACCAGAACTAAAGACCCAGACTCAGAAGCTGCCATAGCAGTGTTCCTTTGAATTAAAATTCCCCAACTTTTTTCCTTTAATTTCCTAATAACCTGCATTTTCCACCCCAGCTTCCTCATGATGAAAATGGACACTGAGAAGCTGCTCCCCCAGCACCCTCAGACAGGTACCAGGGAAAGCTGAATTGTAACATCTCTCTGGCTAGCAAAGCCTGAATAAATCTATTTATGTATATTTTCTGCCTTTTGTTCATTTACATTGTAATGTTTCTGAAGGATCAATGGAGGCAGATTTGGCTGCCTTCCCAGTTCGAGTCAGACAGTAATTAAATACATTTTTTTCCTTTTTATATTATTTCTCTTATTTCTGATGTAGGCAGGTGACTGAATCCAGCCCTCTGAAACCCAACAGAGTGTCTGACCTGGAGTTCCAGTAGCCACCTGCCTCACCTTTACAGTTTCTCTGCCTTTATGACCTCTCCACTCAACTAGGACCATAGCCTTCACCTTGGGTTTGTACCTGCCACTCAACCACCATCTTTTTTGCAACCTGAAGGATCTCCTTAAACTCAGCTTGGTCAAGATTCAAGATTCTCCAGTGCAGAGATAATAGAATTGCAGCTCAGTCAACTATCTAAAACCTTCATCTGTCGAAATTGTTTCTTCATTTTCAGCTTCTTCAAGATTTTCCTCCAAACATTGTTGTCTCAGACAAATTGGATGACCCACAGAGTTACCAGTGCCCCAAGCCAGAGACCCTGCTGGGTTCAGGCAGACTGAATTCGATTGCCCACCAATGTCAGAAATAAGAGAAATGATAATAAACAGGAAAAAGGAATTTAATTGCAGTTTGACCCAAACTGGGAAAGCAGTTAATATGCCTGTGTGTCAAACACAAACATTACAATTTATAGGAACAAAAGCGAGAGATGTACATATGTAGACTTAGCCAGGCTGTGCTGCCCAGAGATGTTTCCATTTTGGTTTCACTGGCATCTGCTCGAGCCAAGGGTTGGAGCATCTCAGTTTCCATTCTTGGCTTGAGGAAATTGAGATGGAGAAATACAGGTTACCAGGAAATAAAATAGGGGAAAAATAGTTTGGTATATTTAATTTAAACAAGTCCTCATTACAAGGAGCAAAAACCATAGTAGATACAGAACTCACCCAATTAGAAACTAGTTGGCTACAGGAAGATAGAAGAAGGGGGACTAGGGTGAAAATGATGTTCTGGTAGTGCTGTTAGCCGAAATTGGAGACATGGACAGGAGATTTGGAATAAGGCTTTTTAAATGTTGGGTGTATATTAAGTTTGAGGTACCAGAGGGAAAAATCAAGTGGGAAAATCTTCCAGAAATTGAAAAGACTTGAAGAAAGGAATGTAGAGTATAAAAATCCATCTTAGAGTCACTTGTATTGAAATACTACTTAAAGCCACAAAGTTGTCAAAAGACAAAATATAAATAGAGGAAAAAAAGAGTGATCCTCAGGAATATTCACATTTAAAGATCAGGAAGTGAAGGATAGCAAGAAGTCCTAGATAGAACTTCTTTAGTGGATCCTTGGAGAAACAGGGAGGAGGCAACCAAGATGAATGCCACCCTTGAACGCTGAAGACTTGTTAGAATGGTTAAGGTGAAATGCAGATGGCAGGAAAGTTGAAGTAAATGGGCAAAGAGGAAGGGAGACAGTATAAACTAGTCTTAATGTTTCCCTAGGACAGGGCCCAAAAGAGAGGGAATTTATTCAACAAGGGAGGCAGAGTTTGCTTTTAGATTAAAGGATTGAAGAGAGAGGAAGAGACTAAAGATATAAAATAGTTGAAATCATACCCTATCTTGGAAGAAGGACTAAAAAGGGGATTGGGAACCCTAGATATGAGGCAGGAAGTCCTTACCAAATAAGAAAGAAAAGATGGTTTTTGTACCATTGTTTAAATATGGAAAAATTGTAAAAGACGTATCAACATGACCCCATGAATGAAAAGAAAGAGAAGAGGCTGAAGGTGTAGCTCAGTGGTAGAGCACATGTTTAGCATGCCTGAGACTCTGGGTTTGGTCCCCCATATCACAAGAGGAAAAAAAGAGAGAAAGTATTAAATATAATATTATGCCACTTGTGTTTAAAATAAATACATTCATCATGTTTAATAAAACCACTAGACTTTTTTTAGTTTTTATTTTATTTTTTTAAGTATAATAACATATTGTTTAAAATGAAACAAACAATTCAGTCAAAATTCTCCACATTTCCCCAACATTGTATACTGTCAAGATGTAAGGTAAAGCTTCAGTGATCCAGAAGGTGGGGTAACTGACTGACAGAGAAACAGAAACAGACCCATACAAATACAACCAAATGACCTTCGAGAAAGAAACAAAGGTTATTCAGTAGAGAAGATGGTCTTTTCAACAAATGGTGCTAGGACAAGTGTAAAAAGTGAATCCAGACACGGGTCTTACATGTTTCACAAAAAAAAATTGACTCAAAATTGATTGTAGACCTAAGTGTGAAATACAAGACTACAACTTCTAGGAGAAAACCTAGATGACCTTGCATTTGACAATGGTTTCTTAGATAAAATGCCAAAAGCACAATTCACAAAAGAAATAACTAATAAGCTGGACTTCACTAAAATTAAAATCTTCAGCTCCGTGAAAGGCATTATTAAGAGAAAGAAAAGATGAAAGGACTAACACGGCCTGGGAGAAAGTATTTGTAAGACACAAATCTGATAAAGGAGGAGGATTGCAAGTTCAAGGCCCACCTGGGCAACTTAGTGAGACCCTGTCTCAAAATAAAAATAAAAAATAAAAGAGCTGGGGAAGAAGTGGTAGAATCCCCTAAGTTCAATCCTCAGTGCAGAAAAAGAAAAAGACAGAGAGAGAGAGAGAGACAGGGAAAGGGGGGAAATGTTTTTAGAATAATGCATGTGTGAATCAATCAATCAATTCTAATCTCTCTTTTTCTTATTGAGGTGAAATTCACATGAGATAGAATTAACTGTTTTAAAGTACACAGATCTGTGACTTTAGTAAATTTGTAGTGTTGTGCAACCATCACTTCTATCTAGTTATAAAACGTTTTTATCACCCCAAAGGAAGCTGCATACCCAGTAAGCATTCTCTCCCCATTCCTTCTGGGAAAGTCCCTAGCAACATGTGATATACCTTCTGGTAACACAGTTTTAGCTATTCTGAATATTTCCTATAAACAGCATCACAAAATATGTAATCTTTCATGTCTGACTTGTTTCACTTAGCATGTTTTTGAGACTCATCCATGTACTTTCTTCCTTTTTACAGATGAATAATATTTTATTGTATGGATACATTTCATTTATATAAGTAAACATATAAAACGTGGGTATATTTTGTTTGCCCATCTGTTGGTGGACATTGGATTGTTTCTACCTTTTGGCTCTGGTACTGTGCTGCTTAAGACACGCGTGTTTGAATTTTTTTTTTTTGAGAGAGAGAGAGAGAGAGAATTTTAATATTTATTTTTTAGTTTATCGGCGGACACAACTTCTTTGTTTTGTATGTGGTGCTCAGGATCGAACCCGGGCCGCAAGCATGCCAGGCGAGCACGGTACCGCTTGAGCCACATCCCCAGCCCCAAGACATGCGTGTTTGAATTCTTGATTCAAATCTGCCATTAAGGTGGTCCTCCTGGTTTTCGCCTAGGGAGTTAAGTTTATTTGTGGTACTTAGTAGATATCAGCTGACATTGCATAGGGATTTGTTGAAGAGAACTGATTTTCTTGTGTTTGCTTATTAAATATGTAATGAAGCCAATGTAGAAAACCTTGGCTCTGGAGCCCTGCAGCTTTGGGGTAACACAAGAAAAGGAAGAAAACAAGCTGGGCATAGTGGTGCACACCTGTAATTCCAGTGATTCAGGCAGTTAAGATAGGAGGATTGCAAGTCTGGGCATCTTACCAAAACTCTGACTCAAAATAAAAAGTAAAAAGAGCTTTGGATGTAGCTTGTGGTAGAGCACCCCTGAGTTCAATCCTCTGTTAATAAAAAAAGAGGTTGGGGGTAGAAAGTGATTCTCGGAATAGGGAGGTTCTTGTGGCTCCCTGGGAAGATCAGTCATTCCATTCAGTGGCCTTGATTAAAGTTCTACATTTCCACCTTTGGGGTTATTACATTGCAAGAGAGGACCCAGCAAGGAAAACAAGGAATTGTAGATTTTTAAGACGTGGCTCTTTTTGAGTCATGATCTTGATTATCTTTAACCTTTCAAAATGAATCTCTCTCCTTCACATTTGGCTTTATATATGTAGCTTTCAAACTCTTACTGTGAATTCTTATTCACCATGAACTCAATACAAAAGCTGTGTCTGTAATTTGAGTGACTCAGAATGACTTTTCCATGTGAGTCACACCTCTCAGGACGATTCTGTTCAAACTGTACCATCTTAATTAAGCATCTCCATCCTCCTCAAAAAAAGCACAAAAGATGAAACAAGAAAAACAAGATCATCCATATTAAACATTTAGGCCAGCTCAGATTTAAGTGTATACATTTTAAATAATAATTAGAAAATAAAAATAATCATCTATACAAATTTCTTTCAAGCTTATAATAGGAACAAACATTCCAGATATTTTAATCAAAGAACAAAACATCAGTTGGGCTAATCAGTTTGAGAGAAATATAAATTCTGATTTTTTTCATTCACATAAAAGTCCAGAGGTAGGTGGTTTAGGCTGGTATGGTGCGTTTGCTCCTTAACATCCTCATTCAGTGTTCAGCTATTCTTCACCATGCAGCTATTCCTGTAATATGGCCCTCCATAGTTCAACACGGAAGTTAGAGATCCAGCCATCAAATCCACTATCTAATCAACAGGATGGAAGAAGAGACAAATAGGGGGCAAGGGCAAAACATAGATATCTTTCAAGGAAAGTTTTTTTTTTTTTTTTGCAGCTGCCATAGTTACTTCTGCTTACCTCTCATTGGCCAGACTTAGTTGATGTTTGGACAACCATATTCTTTAAGGCTACTTTACCAATTATAAATCGCAGCCAATTTGACAAGATTGACCTCAAATTCTGACTTCCTGGTGGCATAAGAAACAAGCTTAATCCTGAAAATTTACTCCTAGAATATGGGTGAAGAGATTCCCAGATTCCTGCTGCAGACAGGAGAAGGTGTTCAATACCACTTACCACAATCTATTCATGGAAGAGAAGTGCAATAGTTTGGAACTTAAATGACCCTCAAAGGCCAGTGTGTTGAAGGCTTGGTCCCAGCAGGTGGCACTACTGGAGGTGGTGGAAACCTTTGGGAGGTGAGGCCTAGTGGGAGGAGTTAGTTCACTGGGGAGGGAGTGCCTTAGAAGAGGACATTGGAACCAGGTCCCTCCTCTCCTTTTCTCTGCTTCCAAACTGTCAGCTTGAACGGCTTCCTCTGCCTTGTGCTTCCTCTACCTTGTACCACTCACCACAGCCTTAAACAACAGGGCTAAGTGACTGTGGACTGAAATGTCTGAAACCATAAGCCAAAATAGACCTTTTGTGTTTTGAAGCTGATTATCTCGGCATTTGTACAGTAACAGAAAGATGACTTACCGGAGGAGGAAAGAGTGGGGAGCCAGAATGGAACCAGGGTTGGGGAATCAGTCCTCACAACCAGCTCCTGAGAGAAGAGTCTGTGGGTTGCAAGTTTCCCTGACACTGAAACAGGGGGTAGAAAGGAGACAGGTGTGAAGACCAAACTAAAAAGAAGAGGAAAATTTCATTAACAATGAAAAACAATGGGCTGCCAGGCCTAGTGATGCATGCCTATAATCCCAGCGGCTCCGGCGGCTGAGGCAGGAGGATCACAAGTTCAAAACCAGCCTCAGCAACAGCACAGTACTAAGCAACTCAGTGAGACCCTGTCTATAAATAAAATACAGAATAGGGTGGTAGATGTGGCTCAGTGGTCGAGTGCCCCTGAATTCAATCCCTGCCCCCTCCAAAAAAAAGAACCAATGAGAAAAAAGTTGGAAGAAACATCTTAGCTTTAATATATAAACCAATATTAGATGATAATTTGGAAAAGAGAAAAAATATATAATTATAATATATATAACAGTCATAATTCTGTCATCCCTACACTGTTACCACAAAATGACCCAGCCAGATATAAACTTCACAGATCATTTCAGCCTTTTATTCAGTGGGTCCATGGGAATGGACCCACTCTTCTGGTGGAAAATGAGCCTCTGAACAAAGGAGGACACTGGGCTTATATAGATTATACTGAGAGGTGCCTTAAATAATGAGCATGTCAGCTTGGGCACTCAGGAATTTTGGGTCTGTCTTACTGGGCAAAATGGGAGGGGTTCTGGGGTCAGCAGTCAGTCTCTGGGATTTATCTTACTGGGCCCAATGAAAGGTTTGGGGTCACTGTAGTATCTGGAAAGGATTCACTTAGGAAAGGATCAATGCTTTGGCCTCTTCCTGGAGACTGCCTTTCTAGGTTGATGGACACCTCCTCCCCAGGGTTTGTTTTATCACCAGCAAAGAATGTATTGGGAAAGATTCAATGCTCTCAATGTATGGCTTTCTCACTCCCCTTTTCCCAGTTCTCACTATTTTTGGAGTTTGTCATCTTCCATATCTAATAAATACCGCATTAGGAATATTTATGGCCTTTTGTTTTCCAATGAGAGGTATTTCTTCACTTTGCTTTTACTTTAAACATAGATACTATAAATATAATAAAACCATATTTTCTACCCTGTGTTTTTCAGGTAACATTAATATATGAACAATTTTAAATAAAAATTTTTCGTGTGATAACGTTCTTTGTAAAAACAAAGAACTGGTTAAGGATATGGGCCCTGAAGTGACTCTTCACAGCTTGAGTTCATATCCCAGCTTGGGGGGACCACAGGTAACTGACTTAACACAACTTTGCCTCATTTTCCTCATCTATGAGTGAGAAGAAATAATATGATAATAACACCTACCTCATAGAGCTGTTATGAGGATCAAATAAAATAATTTATTTCAAATGAGCTAATAACAACTCAATTAACGAAAGCTCTTCCTATTTTTACCTAATTTTACTACCTACATAAAATTCCATCCTATTACTGAACAGTTGGCTGATTATCAGTTTGGGGCTATCAAAAATTTGAAATATTTTAGTGCACTTTTCTCTTTTATACATATTTTTATTTAAATTAATTTTTAATTGGTGCAGCATAATTATACATAATAGTGACACATTCATACATGCACATAATTTGATCAATCTCATTCCCTTGTACCTTCACTTTTCCTTCCCTCCTCCATACCCTGGTCCCCTTCTTCTACTCTGCTGGTTTCACTTCTAATTTCATGAGATGCCCCACCCTCTCCTTTTAAATTTTTTGCCCTTTGTTCTCTGTCTTCCACATATGAGAGAAAACATATGACTGACTCTTGACAGTTTCTGAGTTTGGCTTATTTTGCTTAACATAATGTTCTCAAGTTCCATACATTTTCCTATAAATGACAATTTTGTTTTATGGCTGGATAAAACTTCATTTTATATATATATATATATATATACACACACTACACTTTCTTTGTCCATCTGTGAACCAAAGCCTAGGCTGATAGCTTGGCTATCATGAATTGTGCTGCTATATACATGGATATGCATATGTCATTTTAATATGACTTTAATTCTTTAGAATAAATACCAAAGAGTAGTATAGTTGGTCATGTAGGGGTTCTATTCCTACTCTGTTGAAGAACCTCCATACTGATTTTCATAGTGGTTGAGTACAATCCCACATCTTCTCCAACATTTATTAGTATTTGTATTCTTTTTAAAAATATTTATTCTTAAGCTTTAGGTGGATACAATATCTTTATTTTACATTTATGTGGTGCTGAGGATCGAACCGGTGCCTTGTGCACGGTAGATGAACACTCTTACCACTGAGCCACAACCCCAGCCCTAATATTTGTATTCTTGATAATGACCATTCCAACTGAGATGAAATCTCAGTATAGTTTTGATTTGCATTTCCTTGATTACTAAAGCTCTTGAACATTTTTTCATTAATTTGTTGGCTATTTTTATTTCTTTTTTTGAGAAGTATCTATTTAGTTAATTTGCCCATTTATTGATTGAGTTATTTTGTTGTTTTGTTTTTGTTTTTGTTTTGGAGTTCTTTATATATTATGGATATTAATCCTCTGTCAGAAGACCAGCTGGCAAAGATTTTCTCCCATTTTGGAGACTCTCTCTTCACCCTATCAATTGTTTCCCTTTCTGTAAAGAAGTGTTTTAATTTGATGCTGTCCCATTTATTAATTCTAAGTATTATTTCCTGAGCTTTAGGAGTTCTATTGAGGAAGTCATCGCTTGTGCCTACTTGTTGGGAGGGTTGACCTTATGTTTTCTTCTAGGAGTTGCAAAGTTTCTAGTCTAAATCCTATGTCATTCATCCATTTTGAATTGACTTTTGTGCAGAGTGAGAGATAGGGAATTACTCTCATTCCTCTGTACATGGATATCTAGATTCCCAGCATTAGCTGTTAAAAAGGCCCCAATATATGTTTTGGTGCATCAAGAATCAGATGACTATATCTGTGTGGGTTTGTTTCCATTTCTCCTATTCTATTCCATTGGTGTATATGTCTGTTTTTATGCCAATACCATGAAATTTTTGTTACTATAGCTCTGTACTATAATTTGAAATTAAGTTTTGTGATGCTTCCTGAATTGCTCTAATTGTTTTTACTATTTTGCATCTTTTATTCTTCCTAATGAATTTTAGACTATTATTTCTAGTTCTTTAATAAATGTCATTGGTATTTTGATGGGGATTGCAATGAATCTGTAGATTGCTTTCGGTATTATGGCCATTTTAACAATATTCATTCTGCATATCAAAGAACAGGGAGGTCTTTCTATGTTCTAAAGTCTTCTTAATTTCTTTATTCTGTGTTCTATAATTTTCATTGTAGAGGTCTTTTTCCTCCTTGGTTAGATTTATCCCTAGGTTTTTGTTTGTTTGTTCATTTGTTTGTTTTTTGGTACTGGGGATTGAACTCAAAAACACTCAACCACTGAGCCACATCCCCAGTCCTATTTTGTATTTTATTTAGAGACAGGGTCTCACTGAGTTGCTAAGTGCATCGCTGTTGCTAAAGCTGGCTTTGAACTCACAATCCTCCTGACTCAGCTTTCCGAGCCGCTGGGATTACAGATGTGCGCCACCACAACCAACTCATTTGCTTATTTGTGGCTGTTGTGAATGGAACTGTTTTCCTGTCTTCTTTCTTAGCAGCTTTATTATTGGCATACAGGAAAGCTGTTGATTTTTATATGTTGATCTTATATTCCACTATGTTTATTTTTTATCAACTATAGAAATCTTCTTGTTGAGCTTTATGAATATCCTAAGTATAGGATCATATCATCTTCCAACAGTGATAATTTTATTTTTTCTTTCCTGTTTGTATTCCTTTTATTTCCTTCTCTCCTGTAATTGCTCTACCTAAATTTCAAAGTACTATTAAATAAGTGTGGTGAGAGTGAACTTCCGTGTCTTGTTCCTCATTTTAGAGGAAATATTTTCCGTTGTCCCTCCCCCATTTACTATGATGTTGGCTTTGGGTTTGTCATATATCACCTCCATGATATTTTTTAAATATTTATTATTATTTTTTTTAGTTGTAGTTGAACACAATATCTTTATTTTTATGTGGTGCTGAGGATCGAACCCAGGGCCTTGCACGTGCTAGGCAAGTGCTCTACTGCTGAGCCACAATGCCAGCCCCACCTCCATGATATTTAAGTAAGTTCTTTCTATCCTTAGTTACTTTACTGTTTATATTATGATAGGTGCTGAATTTTGACAAAAGCTTTTTCAGCATCTATTAAGATGACTGTGGTTTTCATCTTTAATTATATTTATGTGGTGAATTACATTTATTGATTTCACTTGTTGCAAGAATGTTGAACCATCCTTGCATCCCTGGAATGAAACCAATTTGATAATGATGAACATTATTTTAATGTGATATTAAATAGGATTTGACAATATTTATTAAGGATTTTGGCATCTATGTGCATCAAGGATGTTGATCTGTAGTTCTCCTTCTTTTATATGTTTAGGTATCAGGATGATCCTGGCATCATAGAATGAATTTGAAAGTATTTCAACCTTTTATATTTCATGGAATAATTTAAGGAACTTATTGGCATTAGTCCTTCTCTAAATATGAATTCATATAAGAATTCATCTGATCTTGGGGCTTGCTTTGTTGGAAGGCTTTTTATCATTGCTTCAATATCATTGTTTATTATTGGTCAGTTTAAGTTTTGTATAGCCTCTTGGCTCAATTTTTGTAGGTTGTATATGTCTAGAAATTTATCTATTTCTATCTAATTTATTGGAACACAAGTTTTCAAAGTAGTCCCTAATGAACCTCTGGATTCCAGTGAGGTCTGTGGCCATAGCTCCTTTTTTAACTCAAATTTTTATAATTTGGGGGCTCTTTTTCTTTATTTTGGTTAGTTTGGCTAAGGGCTTAGCAAATCTGTTTATCACCTCAAATAAACAATTATTCATTATGTTGATATTTTGTATTGCTTTACTACTCTCTATCTCGTTGATTTTTGTCTTTGATCTTCTTGTCCCGGTTTTGGAATTGACTTGTTTTTTGAAGATCTTGAGATGCAT